TATGCCCAGTATCATATACATACCTACCTACACACATCCATACATACACATACAACCAATAACTTAATCCTTATAATAAGTTTAAGCCAAAGTCCAAAAGTAATATAACAAAAAAAGACAGAGAAAAATAAATATAGCAAATGAAACGCAAATACCTGAAAGAAATATCAAGCAAACCATAAATATATAAATAAAAAAAACACCTATATATATCAATATATACAAAAACCATCAAACATCCAAAACCAATTTACAGGAAATTCACCCAAGAAACTGTTCTCATGCCAACTGTGCGGTAAGCTCCTCTGCTCGAAAGCCTCGCTTAAGCGCCACATTGCCGACAAACATGCCGTGCGACAAGAGGAGTATCGTTGTGCCATCTGTGAGCGGGTTTATTGCTCTCGCAATTCTCTAATGACTCACATTTATACCTATCACAAGTCACGGCCCGGCGAAATGGAAATGAAAGACATTAAGCTATATAATCAATTCAATTCGTCTATCTGAGACTTAACATCCATGTCTGGGTTAACAGCAACGACAACAAAAGCAACAGCAGCCACAGCAGCAACTGCAACTGCAACTGCCATAACAGTTGTTCAGAGTGCGAAAAAAGCCATGACAAAATATCAAAACAAATATCTTAAAACTAAAATCAATGCGAATCAATTTCAGTCGAATAACAACACCAACAACAGCAACATAACTATCGAAGATATAGAATACGATTATATGCATCAGCAACAGCAACATGCAGCAGTGTTGCCACACGAACAACATTACATACAAGAAAGACAGTTGATGACATTATACGATTACTATTTACAGCAGCGTAGTAGGGCGACTAACGGTAAAAATATATACAACTAAACTTTAACTAAAATTAGATGACTCGAAACTTAAACTTAAACTTAAAGCAATGCCATTCTGTAGTGATACAACAAAACGAAAACGACAAACAAATAATGTCTCTATAATTTACATACTTACATTAACTATACATACATACATATACATTATGAACAAAAAAAGAAAAGAAAAAAGACATTTAGACTCTAAGCTAGACATAGTTGACACTTTAGTACTCTTTTTTATTAACGTAGCGATGTACGTGATCTACATCTAGTTGACCTATTGCTGATGTATCTATGTAACGACTCATGCCTATTGGACCATTTACACACAAACTTATATGACAGTTGCTAGGCATATGCGGCGGCATTATTAGCTGTATGTGCTAGCTGCAACTGTTTATACTCTGTGGCCTTCTTTATACCTCATACAACGTACTTGTAGTCAAATTTTGTTTGTTAATACTTAATACTATGAATTTTGATTGATGCTACAGTGACGAACTCGTAGCACATTGCACAAGTTGCCTTTCTAAACTAACTCGTCGACTTTTCCAATTGACTTTGACTATACAACATACACACACACACGCGTACACGCACACACATACTGACACGCTCAAATTAGATATATAGAGAATCGCTATAAATTAATAAATATATATATTTATAACATATATATAATATGAAATATAAATGAAAATAATAAAATAAAAAAATGCCAATTGCCGTTGAACTTGTGATTAGTGTTATAAATGCTGAGCCCGCTCTACAACGAGAACAACAACGAGTACAACATCAACAAGAACAACAACAACTACAACAACAACGGCCAAGCAACCAAGCCGCCAAGCAACCATGCCGCACATACATACACAATTTGCCGATTGGAGCTAGAGAGCAATGTAAAGCATCCAAAACACCCCCAAAAGTCTTACCATCAAAATGGAGAGATCTGAGCTGAGCTGAGCTGAGAGTTCACTTCACAGACTTGAAGCCAACGATAAAACGTGACTGCCACAACTTTAACTCTCCCGGTACTCAGTATCCGCTATCCGGGCGTACCCAAACGCTTTATCCCGGTACTCCCGGTTAGTCAGTCTTGCTAAAGGTTAGCCCAACAACTCTTAAACTACATTGGTAGCAAAAACAAATTAACGAGAAGAAACGTAGTTAGTACATAAAAAACATGCTCTGTCTCTGTCATGACCTCTATCTCTCTCTCTCTCTCCCTCTCCAGTCCCTCCTCTAACATACACTACCTCGCTTTCTATCTGTCTCTCTCTCTCTCTCTTTCTATATATATATATTCTTATATATATGTATATCCCATCCTTTCTATATATCCCACACACACACACTCTGTCTCTCTCTCTCTCTCTCTCTCTCTCTGTTGCCCTTAGCCTCTATATATATACACATATATAGTCTCCAGTCTGTAAAAAGTGTATCTCTCTCTCTCTCTCTGTATCTCTTTCTCACTACACAACATTTATCATAATATATATTTATATATATCTACCAGTTGATAAATAACTCTTACATGCATATATGTAGAGAACGTTCATCGAACCATTTTCGATAGTTCGATATATCGGAACTGTAAAAAGTATTCACGCAATTAGATTACCAAATACAAATCAATCAATATCTGCAGCTTGTTGGCAAACACTTCGGTACTACATCTCGCTCTGGCCTCTCTCTCTCTCTCACCACACACTCTCTATCTATCTATAACTCTGTCTCTATCTCTTTCTTTATTTCAGCATAAGTAGAAGAACTCTTTCTCTTTCTCTTTGTCGCCTCCTGCTCCTACTGTAGCTGTAGCTATACACTACATATATTGGACCTATACAGTGTCCATCAACATCTTCGTGTATGAAGTCTCAACTCTACTACTTACGCACCACTCTCTAAATATATACATACTCTGTACATCTGTTTTGGCTGACCGATTGCATTCAGATCTAATGGTTTCTATATAGCTGAAATTAACTATTAGAGCTCGTCTATTCGGTTTAGCATTTATCCCCTCTCTCTACACTCTCTCTCGACTCTCTCTACTCTTTCTCTACTCTCTCTCCTCTGTCTCGACATAAATAAATATATTTATATAAGCTTATGTAGTTATGTAGCGAGCACAAATAACGAGAGTCTTTCGAAAAGTTATTCTTCTCAGAGACTCTTTGCTTTACTCCTCTAAGAGTATATGTATATATGTATATTGATTTCATTAACACTAACACATCTGTAAAGCTAATCTATCATCTGCATAGATCTATATATGCATACGTACCCTACTAGCTCTCTAGCTCGAGTTTGTCTGTTGCTCTTAAACCCGTTTGATCGAGTCTTTATATCATTTCTATGCCCTACAATGGATCATACCGTAGGATGTGTAAGTACTCGTTGACCCGTCCTTCTACTCGCTCTCCTCTCACTCTCCTCTCTCGCTTCCTTCTCTTACACAACTTTGCTGTCTCTGTGCGTTGCTGCCCTTCCCCAAGGACTCTACTCGAGAATTGTTCCCCAACGTTGATCTCTCTTCTCTCTCTATGTCACTTTCTATCTCTACCACTTCCGTCTCACTCTGTCATTGCCTAATGCTTCTCGCTTTGAATCAACTGTACAAAATAAGCTATCATAACCAATGAACCAATAAATGAGTAAATATAACGAGAGGCGAAAGCAACGCGTTATATAACCAAACATTACCTACTTAAGTGCTTGTATACTTCATTTTTCTTTTTGGTAAGTTTGCGTCATTATCGAATATATATAAAAATAAACCAACTCTGATAAATACTCTCTGTCTCTCTCTCTCTCACTCTTTCTCACTCTCTCTATCTCTCTCTCTACTACTTCTACTACTTATTACACCATCAATATATGAATATAAATTTGTATATTGAGTTAGGCAAAAAGGACAACATTTCCTCGGTTAAGTGAGGTGTGCTCGAAAGGTTCACATGCCTATTAAACCTAAACATGATCAACCAGATAAGCATACTCTTTGAGCACACCTCGCCCATACATACACTATCATGCAGCAGCTGACTGTTGCGTTCAGTTCAGTTCTTAGTTCCATTTCCTTTAATAACAATTATTTCCGCCTTAATTTCGACGACACATAAAAAATATAAATTGAAAAAAAAAAACCAAAAAAAAAAAACAAAAAGTTATTTTCATTGCTTTTCCTTTGACAACTTGCTTTTTGCTTTTGCTTACCTACCTAATGTCTAAGCATGTGCATTGCGTGGCTTTACTTGTACATACATACATACATACATGCATATGCATTTGCTTTTGTATTGTTTTTGTTTGTTGTTTGTTTGCCTGTTTGTAAAATTGTAAAATTGTAAAATTGTAAAATTGTAAAATTGACTTGCACGTTCTCTGTATGCACATGTACTGTATCTATCATTTGTATCTAGCTCTTATTTTCATTGTACAGCTTGTCAGATGCGAAAGGTCAGCTCAACGACTGAGAACACCTCGTATACTGAAACATGCATGCACTCTATACAACTCTCACTTACCATCGTATGGGCAAAGTGACCGTAGTTAATGTTAGTTTATTTATGTATCTATAGACAACCCCAAAAACAGTTACGTATTAGCCAAAATTTTATGCATATATAAACTATAGTTATATATACATGTATATATATAACTACCTTTACTGTTATCTATTCTGTTGTACAAAAAAAAAACAAAACAAAAAAAAACAAATCTGAAGTTTCTTATTTGAATTTCTTATGCAAAAATATTCGAGGAAACCTCGTTTTTCGGTTCTTGAGTCTGTAAAGCATATTGATTCTATTTAATAACGCTTAACCTACTATCTTAAAAACAATTAAAGCATATGAACCTAGGAGATAAATAAAATATTATATATATATCAACATTTCCCTATTCCTATAAAAAAAACATATATACATTTAAAAAAAAAACAACTTGTATTTTCACCTTTTAACTTTGCACTTTTAGTTTCATTTCCTCAACAAGAATCGCAAAAAAAAACAGTTAAGAAGAGAAAAGATAAACTGTATACATACATGAAATGCTGTGAGATGTGGTTTGACTTGCCTTGACTAATATGTATATATTTCTATATCTTCTATCTATGTCCTCTCTCTCGACATGAAGGAACGCTCAATATAAAACGATCCGCGGCCAATTCGCCAACCAGTTCTACCTCATCGCCGCCGTCGCCGTCCAACGCGTTGACATCGCCGACCTACTCGCTAAATGGCAGCTTAGCTGCTGCCGTCTATCATCTGCAGACGTCGCCTCCTCGCCCGGGCAGCGGCGGCGGCAACGGCAGCGGCAACGGCGGGGGCAGCAACCTCTGCTCGCCTTCAAATGCCAACGTGAACAGCAACAGTCATGGCAATAATATTAGTCCAGCCAATGTCAATGCCAGTGCTAACCTCAACAACACATCCACCTCGCCGCAGTCTGGCAATGGGGGTGTGGGCGTTGGTGTCGGTGTTGGTGTTGTGCCAGTGCCACCAGTGCCGCTGCGCATGCCGCCGCCAACCAGTGGCGGGATTAATGAGCCGCAGGAGTGCCCCTACTGTCGACGCACATTCTCCTGCTACTACTCGTTGAAGCGGCACTTTCAAGACAAGCACGAGCAGTCCGACACGCTGTACGTATGCGAGTTCTGCCACAGGCGATATCGCACCAAGAACTCGCTGACAACGCACAAGAGTCTGCAGCACCGTGGCTCGAGCGGCATGCTGAAGCGCCTGCTGAAGACGTCGGCCATCAAGCATGGTCTGGTCGGCGGTCATCATGCCCATCCGCATCACCATCATCACTCGCTCACGCACTCGCGCAGCAGCCTCTTCGACTTCAAGAGCGAGCTGGGCCAGCCCCCACCGGGCATACAATAGGATCTACGTTGGAATGCAATTTTTTAGAGAATTACTGTCTAGAGACCAGCTACAAATACTTCGCCCTCCCCCACACGCCCAGACACCCAGACGGCCCACACGGGCATCTGGCCACACGTCTTTCATAATTTTATAGATATATTTGTGACAACGAGCCAAAGGCTCCCCGCAACACACAGGCCACTGTTCGTGCTCACATTTAGTTATTAGAGTGACATCTATTTTTTTTTTATCTATATATACATATAAATATGCATATTCTTAGTTGTATCTGAGTTAGAAGTTAATTTAATGTTATTCAATTGGTTTTGTATCTTAAAATTATGCTCTCCAACTACTTAGTAGTTGAAGCAACGTGGATGACAGGCGCAAGCAGGCGCGGAATGACGTTGCTTCATGTGCAATACCTCAAAGCAAACAAAAGGAAATAATAATCAATAATCGTTTACGCACGCGCATCTAATATTTGGGTAAATAAGCTGGCTTAACTATAATTTACTTTAAGCACACATTTGCTTAGCTTAAGATCTATTAATGTGACAAACAACAAACCACAAACAGCAACAGCAAACAACAACAAAAGGAAAGAGAGCGAAGGACTAAACCAAGCTAAGAGCTAAGCAAATCAAATTGTGTTTTGGGCAGACTTTGGCAGATGCGTATAAAGTAAATCTACATAACATATCAGGGCGTATACGCAATATTCCCAAGACAGCTCAAGAAAGCGTGAAAGTAAAGCGAAAGCGAATTGCTCAGAGCTCGATACTGCCCAAAACATTTGCCTTAGCAATTTTCTTGTTGTTTTCTTATAAATTCGGTGTTTTTTTTTTTTTTTTTAGCTTTAATTTTCGTTTAAAAACAAACAAAACAAAAATTCTCTTAAAAGTCATATTCCATACGAAAGAAAAAGAAAAAAGAACAAGCAAGAACGATATGGCAAGAAGCTGCATTTTTTAATAATATATGTATATCTATATATATATATATATATATATATATATATATATATATATATGATTGAGCATAACGTATTAAATGATATGAATATATATATATATATATATATATATACCTATATATACATATGGATACATAACTAACACAGGAATAAAAGTAGAGAGAAAAATGATGTAAACAAACAAAAACACAAAGTAAAAACGTTATCAGGGATTAAATATCAAGTATTTAGAGTTAAGCAACTTTTTTTTTATATATATATATATATATATACATACACACAGCCACACATAAATATATATATATATAGAGTAAATCTAAGACGAATAAAAGAACAGAATTGAAACAAACATATTAAAAACAAAAAACAAAAGAGACAAACATACGATATGTATTTACATACAAAGCAAATTGGCATTTAGGCAGTCGCATATATATATATACATATTACGTATATGCATGTGTGTGCATAGCATGCGAACGCATGCACACCCACACACCTACACACAAACATACATATGTCTATTTATACAAGCCGCAGACAATTTTTGCATATGAAACAACAACAAAAACCGCTAACTAACTCAGTGATTTTCTACCAGTGAAGTACAAATATTCAGAAAATTTAAAGAAATAAATAAAAGAAGAAGATGATGGTGAAAGAAAAAGAAAAAGCCAAAATTAAGAAATTAAAAATAATACAAATATCGAAAGTAAACGTAAACGTAGAGCACAGCCAACAACTGAAAAGCAGATGAAAACAAAATTACCTTGAGATATATACAGATATATATGCATATATATATATATATATATATATATATATATATATATATATATATATATATATATATATATATCTTTCTATCTACATTTACATATTACATATTTTTGAAACACTCGAAATGAAAATGGACAGAGAACAGCGAAATGAAGGAAATGCTAAGTAATGAACGCGCAGCAGATAGAAAAAAGTTTTAAGAAAAGAAAAAAAAAAAACAACAAAAAAACTGTACAAAAAATTGTCAAACATTGTTATTTGCACACATATCCAAAAAAAAAAAACAAAAAACTGTCTCAGGAATTTCTCACATAAATACAATTTTTTAAAAAATTTATATAAGATTAAAACATACATTAAGGAACAAAGTTCTACTTAAAAAGAAAAACAAAACAATTTTCAAATGTATGCGACATATTTTGATGTAAGTAAGAAGAAGATGAAAAAGAAGAAGCAGAGAAAGATTATTCAGTTTAGCAATAGATGAGATGCCAAGGAGCGGCGAGTAAAGATGACAAGTGAAACGGGTCTTTTGACTAGAAGTTGCTCTCTAGTCGTATCCTTACCATGGAGGCTGTCTAAGTCAAAGCAGCCAATCAGCGTGCATCCACACATACATGCATACATATATATAATGTACATACATGCATATGTATGCTTATGTAGCTTTACGATCTATCTGTCTATTTGTCTGTCAGTCTGTCTGTCTGCCTGCCTGCCTGACTGAAGGCAAAGAGTTAAACCATATGCTACCTCTAATGTGAGCGGTTCATTTATTTTTTTTGTTTTATATAGCTTTTAAATAATTTATTGAATCTAACAGAAATCAGTTTTAGCTCTACTAAGGAATACACATATTCAGATATATGTAATACATAAGCGTTATCTCCCTCTCTCCCCCGTCTCTCCATCTCTCTCTCTCTGTCTCGGTCACATTTTGTTTTTCATTTATTTTTAAGCATTCTTTAGCTACCCCTTACTTATTTTTAAAATTACAAAAACAAAAAAACAAGCCACATTTTTTACTCCTAAGCATTTTAGAACTTAACAATAAAACAAAAAAAAAAACGAATACGAAAAATAATGCAAATGAAATGAAAAAAGAAAAGAAAAAAAAACAAACTGTGATTTACAACAAATTCTTTGTGTGACGTTATAAAGTGAAACATTTTTGTTTTCCTTATACAAAAATTGATTGTTTTGGATATTTAGTTTATTTAACTAATTTTATTAAATTATTTACTATGCGAAATTGTTGTTTAGGCCCCTGATCTTCTCTGTAACTGTGAACGCAAAGAGTGCAAACTTTTGTATTATTTTTTGTACATTTTTTTCTATTTACACATTTGTATTCAAAAACATTTACTTGAATAAATTGCTTATAAATAAACATTTTTTCCAAATTTTCATTTTTTTATGTTTTGCGAGAGAAAAACCAGTTTAGTGATTTTAGATTATGCAATATTTTTTATCTATCCTCCTCCTTCTTTTGACTTCTCAGTAAGCTACTAGATGTGGCACAGATATCAGATCGACTATACCAACTCAGGATAACTCATTTAGACTAAGAAAATCGAAGCTCAGGGAAGTTAGCCACTCAGGAGACCCAGTTTGACAGGCGTCGTACAGTTAAGCAGACGAGCATACATATAGATATAGATATATATGCCAAATGTCAAGAACATTGTGTCAATATACTCGCTTTGCGTTTTGTGAACGAGTAGAACGAGAAAGCGGCCTGCATACTGAGAGCAGCATCTGGCCAATGGACGCACGCGTCAGTCGAAACTTAAATAATATTCAACAAAATTGATGTAGTTAATAGCTTAAAACTTAATTATGTAATTACATTCGCACACTTGCGCATCACTTACCTAGGCAGGTGTAAATATTTACCTATATGGATACATGCATATACACACACACACACACCTCTCTAACAAAAGAAGAATTGAAGCTCGCAGACAGCAAGAAAAGTCAGTGCGAGACGAACCGTTCAATTTGCTTTTTATTTGAAACACACACACACACACTTACTCAAATAATTGTTGAAAATGCAACGCATATCAAATTATGAAAAAAAGGAAACAGAAGAAAATGTGGAATAAAAGTTAATTTATCAGAAGAAAAAAACACATGAAACAAACATTTAGGTAATTGAAAATTATTAGTCAAAATTATATATATTATATATATATATATATTTATATATATATATATATATATATATATATATATATATATATATATATATATATATATATATATATATATTATTATAAAAGGAAGCCAAATAAATTTGAAACTATGCTGTTCATTGATTTCAATTTAACTTTTCGGTATTTAAAAACAAAAATCTGTGATTACCTACAAAATTTAAAGATTTAAAAAACAAAAACAAAAAACCTTAAATTTGTATAGCACAAAGCTCACAATACAACTTTAAATCAAATCTAACACGAACTTCTTTTGGTTTACATAATTAAATATATATATATATATATCTAGATATGAGAAGGGAAACAAAGAAATAATAAAATTAACCAGCACAATTTGAAATACAAACATATATATAGAGAATGACAGAGAGAGAGAGAAGGAGAAGAAGAAGGAGAAGGAGAAGGAGTAGGAGAAGGATATGGTGAAGCTCATCTCGTATATATGTTTGTCTTACATACTTATGTATATCTGAGTATATCTGTGCTGTATTGATTGGTTTTATTATGCAGTTGCATTTTTCAAGATAAACAAGTAAGCATCTATCAGCTGTCGGGCGCTACCGACTGCATAATACTCGTTCACAACAGACCGCCGCTCTATGGTCTTCAGTCAATCTGTATTCCAGGCATGGATACGACAAGGTACATCGAGTGTGTCTTGTGCTGTTGGCTTCAGTATGAACAGGGGAGCAGCTCACTATGTGAGCGAGTATTCAAATACATTTTTCTTTAGCAAAACTGCGACAAACAAATTTTTTGTTTTGTGTAATCCTCACATTTTCAGCGCATCTCTTAAAAGCAAATACAAGTATATATATAAAAATATACATATATATCTTTGTATATATATATATATACATATATATATATATATATATATATATATGCATTATATATATATATATATTTTTTTTTTTTAGATTTTACTAGGATAATTGAACTGTATCTTCGAACACTTTAAAAGTCCGAATTTATAGAGGAAAAGCTATATAAAAATAATAAGAAAATGCATAACACACACACACACAACAATTGCACTCACACAGACAACAGAACAATTTTTAAGTGTATGCATACGCACATACACGCATACATAAATGCATTCTAACAAAATTAATTGTACATTTTTTTTATTATAAATATATATATATATATATATATATGTATATATATATGTATATATATATATATATATATATATGTGTATGTAATTGAAAGAATGCCAAGAATGAAATTAAAAAGGGTCGAAGTTGAAGTTATGTAACTGTGAGCAATCTGTTAATGACTTCGATACGTACTATATATATGTCTTGCATATACATACATATAGAGAGACAAGCACATTGAAACATGTTTGTTGACGTATACTAACCATATATGAATTATAAAACAATTATATCTACATGAGCAACAAAAGCTCAAAGTTCAATATACATATACATATACTTTCATACACACACACACACATATATATATATATATATATATATATATATATATATATATATATATATATATATATATAATATGACAGACTACAATTACATGTATACAGAGAAAACTACAAATTATAAATAAAAGTTCAAAAAATCTCAGAAAATATCCAAATTGTTTTATTAATCCACAAACGCAAAACTTAAATCCTAAAATTTCATATACGCCCAGATTTTGTGAAGTTTGAAATTATACTATAAAAAAAACATGGCAATTGATGAAAGCTCAGGGAGGGTCCCAACAAACCCGAGCACAGAAAAGTATTCGAACCGAATGAAGTGTACGTTAGTTCTGAAATATATATGTACATAATAGTTGCATCAAAACGCGAGTTCAACATATAAATTATTAAAGTGACATTGATCCAAAAATGTTTTCTGAATTGTATTTTGGTGATTACCTCTGATCTCAAAGACATCTTAGAGGATGGAATACAAAATTCGATTCTTAATTATATCGCTTAGCATTTTACCGCTCTTACCAAAATTGACAGCAACTAATATCGATGATTATATAGCAAGTGATCGCATCGTTACGATACGCACATAAAATGTAATATCGAAGCTCTACTCATTTTGGCACTGTTAGAGCACTGACATTACAGCTGACTATATATCGATACACGATTACAATCACGATAACAGCCCATGACATTTAAATGTATTTTTAGTTGAACACGAATAAGCGAATTGCGATGGAGTTAAAGACTGCTAAGTGTCTTAAATACGCAAAATCTCCTAAAATTGCAACTGACATAAAAGGACTCGATACCGTTTTAGGAGGCGGTCTTAAGCAAGGAAAATTGTACGAACTGGTAGGCAGATCAGGTTGTGGAAAAACACAATTGTGGCAAGTATTAAAATACGCATTGATTTTCAAATTCATTAAGTAAGGGGGACTTTCTAGCATGAGGCTCTGCCTAAATGTCCAATTATGCAAATATGGCTACACGGGAAAAGCATTATATTTTGATACTCGAAAGGATTTTAATCCGGCACGGCTGAAAGGTATGTGGTTATTAGATATCTGACCGAGTGATAATATTTTGGTTACACAGAGCTGGCGGAGGAGCTTGCAGCGCGCCCAAATGTTGGTCATATGTCTGGATTAGCACCCACAGCAACCGAAATGTTAAGAAATGTGTTTTATGTGGATTGTCATACCGCTGCCCAACTTGTTGCTGGCTTATTGAATTGCCATAAGTATTTGGAGAGGCAACCCAATGTACTACCAGAGCTAATTGCAATGTAAAGATGCTTGTTTAAAAATTAATTTTCTTCTACAGATTAAACTGATAATTGTCGACTCAATATCGTTTGCGATTCGTAGCTTGAATCACGTATTCGAGCGCACGGATCTCCTGATGGAACTGCATAATATTATGCGTACACTGCAAACGAAACACAATTTAACCGTAAGCGTTAACATTCTTCCCGATATATAAGTTAATAACATACTGAATTGCAGTTCGTCTTGACGAACAATTTGGCGTATCGCCGGAAAAGGCGTCGATTTGAATTGGAGGCGGTCTTAGGAAAAAAGCACTCAATGATAATCAATACGCGCATCTGGCTAATGAAACATGATTGTTTTATAGGAAAAAGATCAAGAACGAAAAGATTCATATGTAAATTATCCACATAACACAATAATTAGATTTTTTCTAAAAAAATTTTCTAATGAGAAAGCTCAAAATTTAGTATGTTTACGTCAGACAACTTTAAACTGAAATATATATTTTTGGTATTTTTGAGTATATTTTCATTGGTCACACACTATTGGGCGTTTATTGAAAAATTACAAGTAATGCAAATAAATAAAAATTAAAAATAAACCTATTAAGAATTAAGATAAATATCTCAGGTTTTCGTTAAAATGGCACATGCGAAGACATCGCAGCCAAAATTCCTGCCCCGTGTCGAAAACACTGTAGCGAATGCAAACACTTACGTTTCCACAGCCGGTGGAAATCCTTTCGAGACAGAAGATGAAGAAATTTTCAGTAAGCGAAAGATGACACTCAATATACCAAGTAACTGCACTGGAAGCTTGACAAACTTGACCGTCTCCAAGAATTGGCTGTTCTGTCTGCTGTCTGCAGAGGGCCGATTGACTTTGCTGCGTTTCTTTCTACCCCGTGCAATACCACCAGGCCGTGAGCGACTTACTTTTTATATGAATTTTAATTACGTATCTTCTAAATGATTAAAGCTTGCTTACAGAAACTGGATTGGAAAAATATTTAACTGGATATAAGATAACAAACATATTTCTGGATAGTACTGGCCATCACCTAATTATTTCACTGGTGCCAAAATCTCAGGGTTTCTCATCCGACTTTTTGTACATACACAGCACAGAGACAACCAAAGCACAACAATTGAAAGTGCGTCGAATCGAGAAGTTGAAGGACCACGAAATTACAGCAGTGGCTTTTAATATGTACCATGGCAATGAATCAACAACGGGCTCTATACTCCTAGGCACTAGTCGTGGCCTCATCTTTGAGACGGAGCTGGGACCAGCCAGCGATACGCAACGCAAACAGCTTTACGATCTGGGACTGGGTCTTAGCAAATATCCAATTAATGGGCTGGAGGTGCTATGTATGCCCAATAGTAATCGTTGGATAGTCGTAGCCACAACACCCGATTGTATTTACACATTCCAGGAAACGCTCAAGCCAGAGGAGCGGTCCTTGCAGCCTATATTTGCGAGTTATGTAAATGGTGAGCGGGAGCCGCACTGTGAGAAGCACAAAACAGATTTGGGTTACTCAGTGCTACGATTCTTTGCCCCGCCCAAAAGTAAATACCCAAAACAATGGGCATGGCTTTGCGGCTCAGGTCTACGCATCGGAGAGGTAAGTGATGGACGAATCTAAATTAGAATCAAATGAAAACTTCTTTTGTATTGTAGCTTTCAATAGATGCAAACGGAAGTAATGCGCTATTGGGTGACACATTGATTCAGTTAGACTTTGAGAAGAGCAAACATATGTCTTATGATGAGCGACGTATTAATGTACCCAAGTCTTTTGTTCTGACTGAATACCATGCCGTTTTCCTTTACTCGGACTACCTAAAAGCCATATGCCTGCTTAACCAGGAACTGGTCTACCATGAGACATTTGATGAGGCCAGAGTGGGGAAACTTTTGAATATGGAACGGGATGCCGTGACCGGTGCCATTTATGTTTACACGGACAAAATTGTGTTCACGCTTCGCGTAATCCATGAGGAACGAAACATATGGCGTATATATTTAAATCGGGGTCAATACGAGCTAGCTACAGCACATGCAGCTGAAGTCCCCGAGAATCTGCAATTAGTATTGGAGCAACGTGCCGAAGCTGCTTTCAATGAGGGCTCCTATGAAGTGGCAGCAAATTACTATGCCGAAACAAACGAGGCATTCGAAACGGTATGCCTTAAATTCATGGTATTGTCCGATAAGCGACCCATAGTTAATTACGTTAAGAAGCGACTCAACAAGCTAACCATGAGTGTGGAGTCTAACCAAACTGATGCTCTGAAAGCTTTAGTTATTTGGTTGATTGATCTATATCTTACACAAATCAACTTACCTGGCAAGGACGCAGCTTGGCGGGTGGAGTGGCAAACAGAGTACGATGAATTTATGCGTGAATCAACTGTTTTGGCTATTACAAGAAATCATCGCACAGCGGTCCGACAATTGATTAACGAGCATGCAGATCCGCATAATTTGGCACAGTTTGCAATCTCTATAGATGATTACGAGGAGGTGATCGGGCAACAGTTGAAGGCAGACCGGCATGCCGAGGCGCTACAAACGTTGTGCAAGCAACGCGATCTGACACTCTACTACAAATATGCCCCTCAGCTTATGGAAAAGCTGCCAAAGCAAACGATCGATGCCTTGATGGCCCTAGGTGCCAAACTGGAGATCGAGAAAGTTGTGCCCACCCTTGTGGTAATTGATACGAAAGAGCACCGCGACCAGGTGATACGCTACCTCGAGTTTGCCGTTTACACACTAAATACTTTGAACGAAGCTATACACAACTACCTTCTGCACCTTTACGCGCAATACGATCCGAAGTTGTTGATGAAATATCTTGAGATTCAGGGACGTGATGAGTCGTTAGTGCATTACGATATTCACTTTGCATTGAAAGTGTGCACCGAGCTGGATGTAAAGGTGGCCTGTGTGTTCCTTCAGTGCATGCTCTGCATGTGGACAACTGCTGTCGACCTGGCTCTGGAATTTGATATGAAATTAGCCAAAGAGACAGCGTCCAAGCCACAGGATAGCGAGACAAGGCGCAAATTGTGGCTGCGAATTGGTAAATTATTTATCCAAATGTATTTAGGCAAAAGTATAATAAAAACTCTGTAATTTTGTAGCCTACCATGACATTAAGGGCACAAACGATGTGAAGAAGGCATTAAGCTTATTAAAGCAGTGCGACTTACTACGAATTGAGGATCTGCTGCCCTTTTTCTCGGACTTTGAGAAGATTGATAACTTTAAAGAGGCTATTTGTGATGCTCTAAAAGTGAAGTTTTAATATGATTAATTCGTTGAATTTACTTATTATATTGCAATGTGTCTTCTTGCAGGACTATAACCAACGTATACAAGAACTGCAGCGAGAAATGGCTGATTCAAAGGAGCAGTCAGATCGCGTCTGCAAGGAGCTGCGTAAATTGAAAACACACAGCATTCGGATGGAGGCGCAGGACGCATGCGATATATGTGATCTCATTTTGCTAGTTAAGCCGTTCTTTGTGTACATTTGTGGGCATAAGTTCCACAGCGACTGCTTGGAAAAGCAGGTGATGCCAATGATTAGCAAGGATCGCAGTCGCCGGCTTACGTTGCTTAAACAGCAGCTAGAAACGTTAATGGCGCAAACAATCGGCTCGTCAAATCACACAGCCGAGCAACTAAAGAAACGCGCTGATCTCAAAATGGAAATCGAAGAGATTCTTGCTGCCGATTGTCTATATTGTGGCCTACTTATCGATACCATAGACCAGCCCTTCGTCGACGATTGGGATCAGGTCAACGTCGAGTGGGAATAACAGACACATCTAAGTTATTAACATCGTCCACATGTACATATAGTATATAGGGCGCATATTTTGTTATCAATAAAGTATATTATGTAGATCAGTAAAATAGAGTATTTTGTTTCTTGAGTAAGTTAGATTTTAGAGTCATTATAGAATAATTATTTATCAGGCAATAATCTAAACACATTTTGCATTTCTATTGTAGATAATATTCGACACTTTTTGATGTTTTTGTACATTTGCGATAAAACCATATAATTTCTAAGGCAATTTTATTAATAGAGTTACAACTATATAAGTAAAATCACGATTCTACATTTCACAGCTGAATCAGTCAACGATCTGCATGCGTAGCTCGTTGCTAACAAAGGACATAATTGTATTGAGCACCGCCTGTTGAATGGATGCATTCTGCGTTATCAAAGGCAACAGCATTACCAAGTCCGTTGGGTGAACGTCGGCGACGGCTGTTGTTACATGTTGGACTAGCTGTTCGCGTTGTGCGTCTGTTAAGTCGTTCAATATAACTTCTCCTAGTGGTTTAAATGTACCTGTAATATATGTGAACAAATATTACAGACAGTTCGTAATGCGAAACATATAGACTAACCACTAGTCATTTTGTACGCAGCAATTCCTCCGGCAGCGCCGCCTACAGCTAGACCCACAGGGCCCATCAAAAGGCCGCCAGCAAAGCAGCAGGCAGCACAAATCGCTGTTCCTTTTCCTGATTGTTTTACTGCAACACGAATATTTCGCTCATCAGCTATGATGGCAATGGCTTCCATTAGCTCGCGGGTATCAATTGGCATCTTATGACGCTAATTCGTATTCTCACTATATATAAACGAGTAAATTTCCTTGATTGCTGATATTCATATGCTTCAAATTATCCGCGATAGAATTGTTTTTGAGAGATTTCGTGTACAACAGCTGATATCGCGTCATGGTACAAAGAACAGTTACAATATTATTTTCATTGCTCGATCTATGGAAAGAGATCGCAATATTAAAACCAAAACAAAAAACATGATTCATGTGTATCAATACATTTGTGTGAAGAGAACAGATCTATCAAGCAAAATGCCAAAAAAAAATACTGAATAATTTCTTGGGCATAGTATTTTTTAGTACCATTTTAGTTTCGTTTGTATGGAAAGAACACGTAAGAATTGCTTGGGCAGGCTTAACACTGTTGCGTTCGTATTGTTGTCGATAACATACGCTGTATTTTGTTTTTGTATATTTCTGATTAAATTATATATTCTGTATTTTTTTAAACATAAAACTCATTGTTATTTAACGTAAGTGCCTGACTGATATGACTGAAATCAATTCTGCGAAGTTGTATTTTTAGCATGCGCAGACAGTTTAAAGATAAAATCAAATATAAAATGTGATCATATTGTGTGTTTTTAAAAATACGAACGCTGATTTACCAAATCGCAATTTTCATTGATGTGCTACACCCCAAATGCAATGATTGCATATAAAGATGTAAGTCGAACGCGCATACGCATATAGCCATACATATAAATAAATAAATAAATAAATAAATAAATATATATATATATATATATATATATATATATATATATATATATATATATATATATATATATATATATATATATATATATATATAAATATATAAACGGGGTATTAATATATACATACATATATCCTTATGCTTTGTTTTGTTCTTTGCTTATGTATTTGCTTTATCAAAAGCATTTATTGAATGTAATTAAACGACATCAAAGTACAGATCAAAAAGTAGCTTTACTATGTCGAACTATGCCTTAAGCCATTTACTAAGTGTAATTACATATGAATGAGTGTGTGCGCGTGCTTATGCATATACATAAGTACGGAATGTCAGGAAAATATCAGATTGGGAAAAACGATTAAGAATGTTAACTTTTTAAAAAATATTCCTTATTGTCTTTATCTTCATGAAAAAAGAAAAGACTATATATATATGAATATATTATCTAGTATATTCACGTAAACTACGTGTACACATATTTATTGCCATATCTAATTAATATTTGAACAAAGCCTGCTGTGCCTGGAACGCTAAAATCGGATAAGTAGGCGGGGTGGGTTATGGGTTAGATTCGCCCTCGCCTTTTGACCCGCACTTAACTTAATTGCCGTAACTGCAGGCCAAGCCTTCGCCTTATCGAATTACAGCTGCGCGCTAATTAACTTTGTCAACATTGTGGGCAGTCAGTTTGGGTCGTACACTGTCAATATTTGCATGTATAAATATTGCTTGTTGATTCCCGTTTTGGTTATCCATTATCAGCAGACAATTGCTTTTTCAACTTGTCTTGCAGTTGGTTCTAATCGTAATGCTAGCTCACGCATGCGCGCGTCCTGAAGAGCTAGCAGCACAAACAGTTCCGCCACAGCCTTTCGCAGCAACCCCCTCGGCGACGTCGTCCCAGTTGGTAACACAATCGATAGAAGCAGCCGCCGTGACATCGCCACCTGTACCGCATCAGGCGGTCATCGAGAGGCAAAGTGAAGTCGAGAAAGCGGATACAGTGCCCGCTGTAACACCGGTGGCAAGTACCACTGTTGCAGCGCCGTCAGCCGCAGTCTCTTCTGAATTGCCGGAATACTTGAAGAACTGTTTTTATGCTGAAGAGGAGCTGTGTCTCAATTGGCGGCGTCACAATGGCAGCAATGGTGATGAGCCACCTGTATTTGATCGTGTGGAGATGACTAGTGTCAAATTGGATGCTGGAGAAGAAAACATTACTGCTGACAATATGACTGCGCACAGCGCACAAAATGGAAGCCTCTTGCAATCCCAGAGTCTCCAAGGTCGTGATCGCGACTCGAACAGCTGCCAATGCAGGGAGCATCCGACTCGAGCCAATTCTTGGTACTGCTGCAACATTACGCACATTTCGACAATCTCAAGCTGCAGTAACATATCCAAGTGGACAAATCTGCATGTGCGCAACCTCAGCGTGCATGCAATGAACCTTTCCAATCCCATATATCGATCGTTGCAGTCGCTCGCCGTTACGGATGGCAATATTATGCAATTGACAAATGCCTTTCCGCGTCACTCGAAGCTTAAGTGCCTTAACATATCGAATAATAATATATCAGACATCGCATCACGAGCCGTTAAAGATGTGCCTCAACTGGAGTTTTTTGGTATATCGAATAATCTGCTATCCCGTGTTCCGAATCGCAACCAGAACAAGCACATAGCTTTAGATATTAGGTAAGTTTCTCATGCTGAAGTATATCAAATTTGTTATACTTACAAAAATAACTCTTATTTTCTAGTGGGAATATGCGTCTGCTCTGTGAGCCCCTAAACGAGATTATTTATGGCGACTCATTTAACTTTGTCAATCCGGAAAACTCTTTTTGCTTGTACAATGCGACACACAAGTGGTTCAACTCAACAAATTTAGTATCAGTCAAGCAGCTGGAGAGTATCAAGAAATGTGGCACCAAATGTCCGGTTATTCCGAACTATGGGAACTGCTCTTGTAACATTTATAATATGATGATAATACAGGGGGATCAATCACGAACCGTTTGCCATGTAGATTGTTCAAATCTTGGCCTGATTGAGCTCCCATCTCTGTTGCCGGACAATACATTCACCCTAAACATAAGCAACAACAAAATAAGCACCCTGGGTGATCATTTTCATACGAATCCCACCTATTACAATATTGTCAAGCTGGACGCCGATAATAATCATATATCATCCATTTACGAATTTGAGGGCACAAAGTTCATTGAGCAATTTCAACGCCTTTACATACGCAACAATTCTCTGACTAAGGTGAGTATAAAAAAATGTATAGAAGATGCATTCCAGTTATGAATATAAATTACTTTCTTTTAGATTCCCGAATACTTTTTGAACAATGCTCTTATGGATACGGGCATTGGGCGTCGCATTTATCTTGCAGAGAATCGACTTCAATGTGATTGCAACTCGGCAAAAACGCTACAAAACTGGCTTAAGGAACGCAGCACAGATATACCAGATTATATGGACATACGATGCCGCAACTTACCTCAGAGTGTTATTGAACTGCAAGAGACAAAGCTATGCCAATCGCCACCGGATTGGACTGATTACATATACTATTTAATAGCAGCAGAGGTCCTCCTCTTGCTAGCCCTGATCACAAAAGTTTCGTACGACTATTGGGTCTTCAAGACAGCTGGCTATCTGCCTTGGCCAGCTAGCAAAATGCCAAAACTGCCTTGCGACTGTCTCTGTGAATCATAGATAAGCTAAACAGGGGAACTCTTTATTTATATAAATATGTGAATAGCGACTGTCGAAGTGAGTTTTAGAGATTAGCTAAAGCAACATATATAAATATATATAGATTCGAAGTAGATGGAAACGTAACATATCCAATTGTCACTTGACCATGACAGATTACACCGGATACCAATTAGAATGTGCCTTCTATAAACAATGTATCTACTTTTAAATAGCCTATATACACAGTTGTCATGAAATGTTATGTATCTGCATTTTACGTGCATTATTTTATATGACTTGTAGTTTGATGTTGATCGTGAATAATGTAGAAACTGCTATCGCACTTGAAACTGTTATACTGCTAAACATACAACAGATAGATTGGACATCTGGAACAACTTTTTCAATACAGAGGATGCGTGTTAAAACTGCTGCAGAAGTGAGAGTTTTGGAAATTGAAAATTAAGAATAAAGGCCATCTCAAGTCGCCTTGTGCAGCCCAGCAGAAATTAAGTTGGGTTGAAAATTGGATCTTGGTTCTTGTGCGGGTTCCAGACGCCCCAACTATGCATTGTGTGATTGTAATCATATATATAAAGATCAAATGAATATATATACATATAGAGTTTTAATTAGTTGATAAGACCTTGCAGGAGCATGTAAGTAAGTTGGCCATCTAAACACAAGTGAATTCAATTTGCATATGATATTTTTATTGTTTGTGGTTTCTTGCAATTTAATTTTATATAGGTATTACAATAATTTTAAGACAAAAAAATGCACATTTTTTATGTTTATGTTAATGTTAATGTTTACATCTCTATGCATGGTGACTCTATTGACTTTATTATTATTATCATTGTTATTAATGTTCGTAATACCTAATGCCATGTTCGTTTTTTAGTTTTTACTATAAGTTTTGCAATCGAGTGTGTTTAATGTGCCTTATAAGAAAAACATTTACGTATCCATACAATACACGCATACAATTGCATATGACTATATTTTAAAATATTCTGTTATAAGTGTTATTATTATAATTATTATTATGTTTGCAGCTTTATAGTAATTAAATACTTTCACATATGTATTTTCGTACTTCTTATCGCTGTAATCAAAATTCTTCTTTTCGTTGTATGTATGAAAAACAATTTCGAAAAAAACAAAAACAGTGCCTTCAATTATTGTAAATAGTATGTGTTAATGTGTATAAATCTTTTGAGCGCATTCTTTTTTACTTTCTTCTCTTTCGTTATATTTAAGAATTAAAAATCAATTTGTAATTTGTTATTTCGTATTGTGATTTGTAATATAGCGGTAATTAAAAATACTCAATACTTCTAAGTTGTATATATATATATATATCTTAGAAGTCAAGACGTACCAGACTCTGGACCACTACACTATTTCCATTTTATATTTGATTCGAAACATCGAGAGTTTAGTCGAAATCGATATCGATCGGTCAATATCGATATTAGCCTGTATAATGTAATGTATTTAAGAACCATGAAAAATACATATATCGACTTTTTACAAAAGGTTTGGCTTAAGTAAAAAAAAACGTTTCATACGTTCATTTAGGAATAGTCACATATAACCCATTGTATATATATACATACATATACATATATAAAGGCATAAATACGTAAAATGACATCCAAAAATCTGGGGAAATGCATTTTTAATTTATAGATATATATATATACATATAAATACATATATATATATATATATATATATATAACCTGGTACTAGTGCAACAAATTTCAATTGTATAGATATGCATATATATGCATGTACATCTAATATCGCTACATATGTATGTGGTACGGGTGTTATACAAAATTTATAATCAAAGACTTTCAAATCTGTTATAAGTATGTTTGGTATGTACATAATTCATGTTAAAAATGAAATCATTCCGATTGGCTAAAAACATGTGTAAAACCTATATGTATTTAAAAATCCTTAGCTATGAAGTACTGTGCAATAAAAGATATCAAATATATGACTTTAACGATAATCGATTATAGAGAAGTGAATCAATGTATCAGCCCCATTTCATGGGATGTACTGATAAGTTATAACATATATGCATATTTTCGGGACTCCGAAAAAAGACTCTTCCCAAAAATCAAATATTGTTAACCAAAACGTAGGGCATTTCAAAAAATAAATGGCATGCAGTATGTCGGGTCGGTCCCTATTTTTGGAAAGAGTTTACCGTGTCTGGGAATAAAATTAGCTAGTTTTATTTTCTAAGAAATATATTCGTACTTATTGATTACTCAAGTATTTATTCTTTACTTTGTTGATGACCTAGATATATAGAACTATCAGTCTCACGTCCCATACCAAACCACAAAACAAGAATATCAAATGAGAGGTATATTAAACTAAACTTGTTGAAACAGTTGCAATAGCTCAAATGTGACGATGCTTCACTATAACATTTAGGTCTGTCTCTATTTCATGGTTTTCTATGCACGACCGACCACTCACCATACAAGACATTAATCGAATATTCGTTGTTGCTCAGGCACTCTTAGCTTAGTGCGAAAGAGTAAGATGGAGATAAGAGCCGCATTTCCGGATGCTTTGCTCTAGACATGTCATTAATGTGTTCTACGGCCGGTGGTAGAAGGTAGCAATTTAATGAACTTCATGTGCTGGGATTCCTTAATAACTATTATAATAATGATCTTTGGCATTTTGCTCAAAGTGTTTTGAAGTGTAACAAAACAGCTTAGTACATACATTCGATATATGTACATACATCTACATGTACGATGCAGCTACATCGTTTAGCTTGCATGCATATTTCATTTACTTTATTTTTGATTTTCGTTTGGCAATACATACATAGCCTGGCACGTAAACGTATTATGGAATATGTATGTATTTGTATATGGTATATGCATATATATATATATATATATATATATATATATATATATATATATATATATATATATATATATATATATATATATATATATATATATATATATATATATATATATAATATATACATGTATGTATGTACGACATTCAGATTTAACACGTATAGGAGTACGGCTTAGTTGCTTAACATTCTTAACAAAATTATTATTTAAGTATTAATGGTATTACAGAGCCGAAGGCTTTTAGCCTTCGTATGTAATTCGTCTAATATCTGTGTTAAGGATGGCAAAGTTAGAGATACAGCGAAAGAGTCAGACAGAGAGAGAGAGAGAAGTGATATACAGATCAGAGCTGCAATCCGTGCATGTGACAGAGAAACATATACAATATGTATAATGATGTATGTGTTTAGCAAGAGAGCGACAAAGATAGAGATAGAGAGAGAGAGTGAGAGTGATATACAGTTATTGAGCTGCAATTTGTGCAACGTGACAGAGACACATATATATAGTATGTATAGTGATGCTACAGTTAAATATCGATTTTCGTTTCGCTCCACGCCAATTTCCAGTTGTGTTAGAGTATCTCCGTCTCGTACACCTGTTTAGTGGTCATTGTGGTGTTTGTAGCAGCAGCAACAACAGCAGCAGCCCCCGCACCTGTACCACCACCAACAACGCCGCCAACCACACCACCCGTAGCATCACTGTTCAACACACCATTTGTACCCGCTGCATTCTCAGCCGCTACTGCTGCCACCGCCGCCGGATCGCCGCCCACGGATTCACAGGTCAATAAATTGATTGCGGCTATTTTCTGCTGTATGTTCGATTCACTGCCGGGATGTGTGGGTCCGGATATATCGACCGATGGTATCTTGCTCATTTGCTGCAAGCGCTGGTACTGTTCCTGCAGCAGCTTCTGCTTCTTCAATAGTTCCTGGTGGCGCATTTCGAGCGCCACTTGCCGCTGTGCGTGATCGTTGCCGGACTCATTTCCGCTGGAGTTGTCGCCGCTTGAGGTGTCACCACTACCGATGACAACAGTCTCAATGCTCATTATATTATTGTCAATCATGTTGTTAGTAGCTGCAGCGGCGACGGCGGCGGCGGTGGCAGCGGCAGCGGCGGCTGTGGCAGCGGCAGCTATGTTCTGTGGCACATTTGGGCTTGTCGGACTGGCCAGTGGACTACGTGAGCTGGTACGCGGCGGCGGTGGTGGCGGTATGCGCTTGTGACCCACTCTGCTTATCAAATCGGCATTACGCTCGGGCACTGGTGGCTTATTGTTGCTGTTATTGATGTTGATGCTGCTGCTGACTGCACCAACACCACCACCACCACCACCATTAGCGAGTGGGGGTGGAAACTCGTTGTCCGATTCGCTGGGAAAGGAGTGCAGGCGACGCAAGCTTCCCATATTGGTGTGCACCATCAGCTGCTGTTGTGACTGCTGGTGGGTCAATCCACCACGGGACAGTTGTGTTGTTGCCCCACTAGAAACGGCCATGACCATGCTGTTGGTGGTCGCCTGTTGCATATTGACGACGTTCGCCTCTGTGAATAGACGTGCCTGAGATATTTGCGTGGTGACGGTACTCTGCACCGCGGCCTGGGCACTCTCATCGGATGCCGAATCTTCGGGGCGTACCTATGATGCATACATATATACATATATATATATATATATATATATATATATATATATATAAGTCAAAGTCAATAGATCTTGTTTGAATACAATCATTTACCTCAAATGGTGGCTTTTGCTGTTGTTGCTGTTGCATTTGTTGTTGTTGCTGAAACTGTTGCTGCTGCTGTTGTTGTTGTTGTTGTTGGGCAATGGGCTTTGAAAATGTCTTTAACTCGTCTAGCAGAGCATCGAGTGCGTTTTCGGGTGCGAGTCCCCCGCCGACAGGGAACGACCCCATCCTGGGTGTTGGGATTGGCTATAAAGAATATATAATTACAGTAAAATTGTAAATCGATGCAAATATTTGCCAAAAATTTGTGAAGTGAAATGACGTTTAATAAAAAACATTGCACATTTATACATATGTATGTATATATATATATATATATACACAAAATATATATATACTTATGTGGTCCAGCATTGTGATATTAATACATAGTATGAAAGCCCGTCCAGTTAGACTGGCTAGAAAGTAACAAAAAAAAGCCATAGCGACTCAATATAATACTGTGTGCATAGGAGTCATGAATCATGCTGTGCATCTTATGGGTTATATAGAGTATCTGCCACGATATAATATTAATACAACATGCACTCAAGTACTAAATCAAATCAAAGCAAAGTTGTTCCATCCAAGGATAGTTCAAAACCAAAAATTAAGCTATAATAGAATTTGAAGGCCGATTCAAGCACTCCAGTTGGCAATGCTCGACTGGAAACTACTCGTTCCATGCACCTTAGATTCGTAATATCTGAAAAGTCCGCAGAGCTATATATGTTGACCATACAAATATCAGTAACATATCATAATAGCTTAACACGGCATGGCGTCCAGGGTATCTACTAGTCGGGCACTTCTACTCGGAAGTACTCTAACATGTATATTGCTTAATATATTTGCCATGTTGTACTTTTAGCATGTTTAACATTGAAGTAGAAGCGCACGCGTAGGTAGTCTGTCTGCTGACACTGACATCCATTGGGAAAGAGTTGTACAGTTAAAGATCAATAATGGTTGGCTCAGTCACATTGTAGTCAGGTACCGTACCCTCAATAAACTTCGTATTAATCAACACAAGTTGTTTTCTTTTTCCAATGACTTGCTAATTAAAATTCAGCGGGTTTCTGATTTCCATGGCTTAAACATGACATGCACAAATAAGAAAACAAAAATATAAATATACTTATAATTAATTATGAACATTTGTGTGTGTCCGTCTCTAACTACTCTTACTGCATGCAACATTAAGGGGCACGTTTGCTCAAATAGATTCCATACAACTAATCATTTTTGATTCGATTCGGATTTTTTAATTTCTTGAAAAGAATAAAAAAAAACAACGATGAATTGCATTGGAGACAAGCATTAGCACTTAAGATCTGCATGTATCTGTATGTATGTATAAATGTATTATATATATGTATATTTAAATAGCTCCAAATGAAGTCTTCACCGATTAAATATTTTGGGCATAAATTGTTAATATTTTTAATAGAGATAGATAATCATGGTAAAAAAACCAAAATAAAAAGATTATATATAGATATATATATATATATATATATATATATATATATATATATATATATATATATATATATATATATTTATTTATACATATATACATATATATATATAAATAGAGAGAGAGATCGATGATGGATGGGTAAATATGTTAGATGGTTAAAACTTCAAAGACAACAATCGATGAGTGAGAACATTTTGAAGAGCTTGAGCTTTTAAATTCAATTGGTTCAATTGGATTAGTTTGATTAATTTGGTATATTGACTGCACGCTTAAAAGAATGATTTGTGTATACATTAACAAAGGTACATTTAGGTTGATACTAGAGTTTGTATATATAGACATAGTTCATTTTTCAGCTACAACATTAATACAAAAATATTATTATCTTTTGTTTTTTTTTGTTTTTGTTTTTGTTTTTGTTTTTAGTTTTTAACTAGCTTTTCTTAACAGGAAAACAAAAAAGAAATAATTTGCATTCTTGCAAATTAACATTCTATAAATATGTTTGCATATTTGTTTTAAGTCTTCGGAACACCGAAGCTATATCTTTCCAAAAGTTGTTCTATAAATAAATTTTTTGTGAATCGGGAAAACTCGGCGCGGCTGTATTCAAGGGGAGAAAGTTATTGAATTAAATAAATTTGTGTTCTTTTGTTGTCTTTTTCTTAAATGTGAACATAAAATGTTGTAATTTTGTTACTGTCAAAGTTGATATTGCGTGTTTGATGAGAAAAACATAAAATTTAATTTACAATTTCGTTTTTAGACTAGTAGAAGGTGGAAACGGGGCCTTCACATATATTGGCATGCACATAAATCGATTTAAGTACCATATTTAAACTTTTTGAACTTTGTACAAAAGAAAAACCAATAAAAAGAACAACAGAAACATATACAAAAACATAATCAATCAACACAAATAAGAAGTCGAAACAGACGAACAGATTGTAATTAGTTTGAATGTGAAAAGTTGTCTCGAATTGTCAAAGAGCAGAAAAAATATGTTGCAATTGCAAATTAAATCATCATTTCGGAACTAACTGCTACTAATACAAACAAAAAAAAAATGGCCCAAGTAATTTATCTATAAACTCTGAGGTGACTAAATACAGCAAAGTATGTTATATTATGATACTGTTATCCCATTTTACATACTCTGTTGCCTTAGAGCTGCCTTACATATGATGTATATAAGGTGACTAGAATAAATCATGTCCACATCATATATTGTTCTATATGGAAATTTATTTATAGCAAAGTTATACTTTGTGTGATTAGAAGCTGTTTTTCATATGATGTCCATAAAAAGATAGCTAGATCTTGCTCACATCATATGTTGTTATATAGTGAAATGCATTTACCGCAGAGTCTATTATACTGTTTCTTCTATTGGTTTAGAGCTGCCCTACATACATATGATGTATATAAGGAGACTACACTAGATCATGTCCACATCATATATTGTTCCATAGTGAAATTCATTTGTAGCAAAGTCTGTTATACTGTTATACTTTGTTCGATTAGTTATTTTTCATATGATATATAGCATCATATATTGTTTTATAGTGAAATTCATTTATGGCAACGTCTGTTATATAGTTATAGTAGCATACTGTTATTCTCTGTTGGCTTAGAGCTGCCTTATATATGGTATACATAAGGAGATTAGACAAGATCTTGTCCACCTTATATTTCATAGTGAAATATGTTTACAGTAATGTCTATTATAGTGTTACACTCCGTTGCATTAGAGGTGATTAACATGACCCATATACAAAGAGATGGTTAGATATTATGTACAAAACAGTTGTTTTACAGTAAGACGTATTTGTTGAATAGTCTGCTATATTCTGATATACTGTTAGACTGTTATACTCTGTATAAAGCCACAACTACACCTGGTAAATATATATGTCCATTGATGATAATTTTACAATCCAAAAGGTATAGAAATAGTAAGATGTGTGTAGTAGAGGGGTGCAAGGACGACCACAGACGAAAGCAATGAAAAACAATTATTAAAAATAGGATTATTTGAGCACACAGGGAGGTGTTGAGGAGATCACATATTATTTGTTGTTGTTGTTGTTGCTGTTTTATTTTTTGTATTCTTGATTAGTACGTTAAGGGGACATCTGGGAAGATAGTATGTAGTTACGGAAGGGGGGATAAAAACGATTTATCTACCACAGAGGTTGTTGCTGTTTAAGTCTTTCAAAACATGTATAATAAATTGTGTGTCGATGCTATTTACCTTTCTTCACTCATTGATTGACTTGAAATTTGACTAGCGATACAAAATTGTCGATCTATGTGATATTACAATATGGTAGTATATGGTAAGCACTTTGATCCGTAGCTCACTTATATGTATGTAAACTCCTTGAAAGTATTGCAGCCGAGAAGTTTGCAAGGTTTAGCTTAGAGAAACCCCTTTTGGAAAGCACTTTACGCACACACATTCATATATATGTATACACACATAAGCTTATATATATTATATATTATGTATTATATACATATACACATATATATATATATATATATATATATATATATATATATATATATATATTTATATATATATATAAATATATATATAGGTAGCTAATGATATATAATTGCAGTTGGTAAATGTGTTATGGTCTTATAGATAGCATTTGATGAGTTTGTATTAGTTTAGTTAAGTTAAGTTAAGTAAGTGGTATACAAAAATATAAACTAGTTATGTTTTAAATGCGGAGCAAATAATGTTTTAGCTAAAATAAAATGGACATAGTTTCGTTTTATGAGAATTTTTCATAATTTTTTTTGTTGAAAAATGTTTTTTGTTTAATTATTTTATTTTTTTATATTTATTTTGATTTTTTTGTTTATAGTTTTTTGTTTTGTTTTTGGTTTTTGTGTTTTCAGTCATTACTCAGTAATTGCCTCTTTGAAGTTAGAACTCCATCGCCAGTTAAACTATGTGGGTTGTTGTTGTTGTTGTTGTTGTATACGATATCAAAAATTGTTAGTTCGAAAAAAAGGGGCAAGAAGAAGAAAACGATATCACTAGGTAAACCTCATTTGATAAGACTTTAAGCTTTTGATTTTTGATTTAGGTGGTGTTATTTTGTCAAACGTATGAATATGAATTAGCGTGTTTCAATACGTAAAACCTTTTCGCTTCATCAGAAAAAAAAGCAAGGAAAATAAACTTTTAAATTTGTTTTCAATTTTGTTGATGGTGTTTTAACCATTGGGAAATATCGGTGAAGCCATCGCCTTTTACAAACTGTCTCGGGATTGGAGTTAACTCTATATGTATGTATATATAAAGAAATCAAGTATAATGAAGTGGACGCAGTATAAACAAGGACAAATGAAACTACTTTTTAACAGCCAATTGCAACTTGTTTATAGTAAGAACTGCACAGAACTCAAGAAAAGAACCAATTCAAAAACAATAAACACAAGAGAAACAAAGCATACGTACAAATGAATTTAATTATAAGTAAATACAATTGATTTACTAAGGTAGCACTAAATAGCTTGCTTATATATTATATAAAACCCTTGCATAACTAGATTGCAATTTCAATCAAAAACAATCGATAATAGTCGATGCGCACTATTAAGGTTGAAATGAGATTAAAATAATTTTCACATTCCTTTCAGATAAATATATAGATATATGTACACACAAATCGGTTAACTACATATGCCAATGGATTGCCCTCCCATTGTCCACTAAATCCCATCGACCCGGTTGTAAATGAATAATCAAAGGCTGGTTGACTACTATTTTTATTTATGCATGTCTGTAATATGGGTATATATTGTACGGCATCCCAAAAGTTTACCTAAGGAAGTGTAGACCTCACTTAAGTTCATTCAATTGCTGATTTGAAAAACAAAAGCTTCCTACAAGTTGGGCCATAAAAGAAGACTTAGAATTAAAAGTAGGTCTTCTTACAGCTCGCGCAGATAAAGTTCGCTTCCTATCCTCGTCCATTATTTTCCTCTTCATGATTTTAGAATAAATAACACTTGTTAAGTCATCAAAGTTGCATTTAATTTTTATATATTTTTGTAATATATAGAAATTGTGATATTTAACACTTCTATATATTGTACGGCATCCCAAAAGTTTACCTAAGGAAGTGTAGACCTCACTTAAGTTCATTCAATTGCTGATTTGAAAAACAAAAGCTTCCTACAAGTTGGGCCATAAAAGAAGACTTAGAATTAAAAGTAGGTCTTCTTACAGCTCGCGCAGATAAAGTTCGCTTCCTATCCTCGTCCATTATTTTCCTCTTCATGATTTTAGAATAAATAACACTTGTTAAGTCAGCAAAGTTGCATTTAATTTTTATATATTTTTGTAATATATAGAAATTGTGATATTTAACACTTCTTTTTGTTGCCATATGCATGCACTGTTAATGTTTGAAGCAGCAGCTCGGGTGTCTTCTAGTGGAGCACTCTCAGCTACAGTACTGCAGGCGAACTATGACAGGATGAATGGGTATACTGAAAAGTGCTGGACATAAGTGCTTCGAAATTGGAAAAAGCGTTGGCACAGATGTATTGCATTAGAGGTGGGGGGGGTCACTTTGATGGGAGAACATGAATAGCGATGAATAAATATATATTTTTTAACACACCCCGTATACGATATAAATTATTCACCAATTAAGTTAATATATAAGTAATATATATAACTAACATATCAGCCTTTTATAGAATTTCATATGTTTGACTTATCAGCAATTGAATTGTTGCTTGATGTTCGTTGTGATAGACAAATAGACGGACGGAAAGACAGGTATGCATAGATATGTTAATGGACTGATGCTAACTTAAATGTTCATAGTTAATCCCTTAGACCAAGTCCAATGGCGACCTCACAGATACTCGACATAAAGATATTAAGTTATTCAGTCAGCGGGTTTTACAATATTTAGCAAGGTTTCTAATGTGCAAAATAGGTTCATCTTTTAAAATGAAACTCAGCCAATGCAAATACTTCTTTCGGTCAAAAGCAACTAGTTTTTGTCATCAAAATAATACAAAGAATATTCGATAAACATTATTATATATATATTAATATGTATGACACGGTATGGAACGGTGTTTTATGCGCAAATAATAGCATTGGCTATGCAGCCCTAGGTGTTTTTTAATAACTATTTTTTATTTTGTGTATTTGTTTTTCAAAAATATCTCTCAATGGATTTGGATCTGTCAGTGGACTTACCTTGTCAGGGACCGAAATATCTGCGGAACGTAACGACTCCTCATTTACTGACGGCTCATTGGGGGGCAAGCGCTGTTCCTGTACACTCGCCAAACTGTTCGGGAAAGAAAAGTTTATTCAATTAGCAACAGCCAGTAAGAGTGCTCTACTCGGGGGAACCCGACTAGCCAGACACCCTGAACCCTGAAGTTATAGATGAAACTTGATGGGGCAGATGTCTTAAGATAGACAACTATGCGGACGGTCAGATGGACAGGCGAACATGAGAATATTTTTATTTTATATTTTATTTTCACAAAATCAAACATACCCTGTTTACCCAGCCATTCACAATGGGTTCCAGGGTATAATCAAATGGTTTTGGGAAGTATACAAACCGTTTAAGTGTAACTAATGTGCCCGTTAGCTTTTTGCAGCGACGCAGAGCAGACTCTAGCCGATCAGGCTCTTCTTTTAGGAACTTTTCTTCTCGTACTACTTTTTCCATTTCATTGGACAATATGCAACGCAAACCATTTGACAAAGTCGGAAACTTGAGCTTCAGCTCAGCGACAGTTTTGCTGTAAATTGAGAGAGAGAGAGACTTGATTGGGCTGTGCGTGAAGTAGGACTTTTAGCAGATCATACCTTGCGCGACTTAATACCAGGGCCATGTCCTCGACAGCTGTCATATTGACGCGCGTGCGTCGATTGATCACCTCGCCGCGCAGGTTTTCAACCGAAGCTTCCAAATCACTGAGATCCTTTTCCAGCCGTATGACCTCTTGCTTGTACAATTCCTCTTCTCTCGATATACGCGTAGTGTCCTGATCGCCCTGGCCCCAAAAACTGCCGCCACTGCTGGCCAACAATGTAGCACGTATGCGCATGAAGGTGCTTTTGATGTCCTCTCGTACGGCAACTGACTGAGCCTGCGACAGCCGTCTTAATGTCCGCACTTCCATGCGCAAGTCCTTCGCCTTCTTCTGCAGACCACGCAAATGATTGTAGACCTCGGGGGCAAGTGCAATGTCCGCCCGGTAGTTGGGATGGGCGGTCTGTGTCAACACAATTGGCTTTGGCGGTGGCGGAGGCTTTAGGCGATCGCGTTCTGTGAATTGCATTCAATTATGTAACAACTAAAAGTGCTACTCTAGTCGAGAATACCCGACTAGCAGCTACTCCGAACCTTGCATTTCTAGACGCATGATCTCCCTTACTTCAGGGCACAAATATTTCATTTTGATCATGTAGCAAAGCCCAAGAAACATTTCTTTTTGATAAGTTTTTTACTTATATTAAGATCGGAAGATCGGAAGTATTTAGAATATGTGTTTACCTTACGACAAAAAATAATCTATGTTGAATAGGCTCAGAGTATACATAAATATTAATATAATAAATCAATAAAACATTTGTAAGCATTTGCATATACATATATATATAATTAATACATATATATGTATTCGTGATTTGCGTTTAATGCATGCGTGATTCATATAAGTGTTTTTTTTTTGTAAAAATCATATAACAAAAAAGTAATTGCCTTGGTTTCTTTCATATATCGCTCTTACCTTGGGAGGATGTACGTGGCAAGGTAGACGACTTGATTGCCGGCTTAGTTGGTTTCGTATCAGCTTTTGGGTCCAGTGCAGAATATTATTTGATTGAATAGGGGATGAGTGTTAATATATAATTGCAAAACAGTTTGGATCTGTAGACTCAGTGAGCAGCAAGTTCACAACGATTGTCATAGTGACTCTTAATGGGCTCTTAAAGGTCGGAATAAAATCAAAGTCAACGAACGCATAAATTGTCCACAGCAACGAGACTTAACTAAATAATTGTGATGAAAATATTGGTAAAAAGTAAAAATAAAACAACAAAAGCGAAGCAAAAAAGCTCAAATAAGGAATGTAACACAAAATTGATGGCATATAAATAGTTAATTGTTTTTGTTTTATTTACCGGCATGTAGAGGGCTATGCGACTTGGGTATTCCCTGAATATCGTCACTGAAGGAAACGGATTTCTCAAAGGACACGGATTTCTCTGAAAAAAGAAACAAACGGAATTGGTCACTGAGGCATGTGGCAAAGGTTTGGAGACACTTACGACATGAATTCTTGCCCAGCTTAGGTGCCTTTTCTCTAATGTATAGCTCATCGGCGGAACCATTGGCTAAATATAAATATATATAAGACAGAATGCGTTCAATATGAGATTATATACAATATATAATTTGTTTGTTTAAAACAGACTTGATCTGCGCAAGCTATAGGAGAGAGAATCTACTTTAAAATCTCAAATTCTTATAGGTTCCGAGACGGACGGAAGGACATAAAAAGAAAATAGTAGTTCGCTATATAATGAATCGGCTTGGCCTGCCTGTTTTATACTTTTTAATGATGACACATGAATAAAATTTTTGCCCCAATGAAAATTTTTACTCTGCAAAGCTCCTCTCTTCAATGTAATAATGTAATGAAATGTCAAGTTTGCTACAAATAGCTATAAAGATATGGTATACCTTGCATTTGAGATGGCACGACGAGATAATTGGAGTCTAGTGTAGGTACAGGCATTGGCGCAATTTGGGGATTTTGATTGACTAATGCCTTCTGGACCAATCCAGTTAGGTTCGCCAATTGGCGCTCCATATGCTCAACGCGTATGCGATGTAAGTCTTCAGGCCTGCAAATATATATATATATAGATAAATTAAAATAAGTATAACATTCGACACGCTATTGAACAAATTGAACAGTTTTTAATTCACACGTAGGTCGGAGCCACTGTTTGTGACAAGTCGTCAAGTTCTAATTGAGCAGCCAAGCCAGACAAGAGTGCTATAATCGGCAGTACTGACTACCAAATACCCTTATCTCTGCGGCTCTATACTAACGATCATTATAGAAGAGTTAAGGGCATATATAAATATATATATATATATATATATATATATATCAAAATCAAAGTTTGGAGGAACGCAAAAGCCAGGATATATTCAAGGTATATATGTTTCAGATTGAGTCGCAGATACCTTTTTCTGGCTAATACAGGTACACTCAAAAACTAATATACTCTGTTGACTCAACCATTTTCAATGAGCTCCATTGTTAGCTTGAAAGTTGAAATACTTGAGTCAAGCAAGCGTTGCTGCTGTATGTTCTCTGAAGTACCGAATAGTACCACAATTTCATTTATGGTCATTCTTGATGCGCAGTCGCTTCTTGCATGTGCATCAACTAGGTGTGGAGGTGTACTGCCTTAGCAAGCACCATGGCCTACTGCAGCGGTAGATATGCACGCTATTTGTAACGATTAGCTAATAGTCTGAATAATATTCGATATCTTGTTGTTGCCCAACAGTGACCAGCACGCAAGAACGATTCGCAAACTGTTTATCAAATTTTCAAATACACGATTTGTTGGTATTGAAAAAGTCGATGGAGCTGATGGTGCACACAGAGGGCTACAAAACGGATGCGGCCGAGGACTTTGACAGCTGTGGTAGCACGGCTGATGGACCCCAGCGAATGGCTTTAATGGCGGCCGATCGGTAGGATCAAACGTCATCTACGGTAACTCTTCCTTAAGTCTTGTTTTTTCACTAGGGGCGATCGTGGAACATCGGGCGCTGGCTCCTCGCATCCGTGGCAAAGTGATCCTGTTGCCAGTTGGACTGAGGAGAAACCATCCAAGCTGCAGACCCTGTTTCAAATCAGCATCACTGCCCTGGCCTTTCTCTCATTTGGCGGCTACCTCCTGTGCCTCATAGTGCAAGCGATCAAAAGCAAAGGCACAACATATTTTCATCCGGTTGCCACAGCTACCACAACGAATACCAATGGGAGTGTGAAGCGCATTAAGATTTATAGGCGCAGTAGACGTAGGCGCAACATCGACAATGGTCACATTCACATTTCAAATTTACTCTTGGCCGACTATGCGACATATATGAAATCAGTGCGTGCTCAGCAATTGCGCTATAATGCTCACCTGGTTGGATCATAGATCTGATTGCCACGATGCGGTAGACGATTCGGCCCTACTTTAATTCCATACAAGGAATACTGATCTTCCGCGAGAGCCACATCGCTGTGAAAGAGAAAGAAAGAGAGTCACACTTAGGGAAAGTATGAGAAAGAGGAATAGAGAGAGAATATATCGCTCATATATACATACATATATATATATATATATATATATCAGTTTTACCCTTTTAGTCCAAAAATTATAATGAGAGATATTTTAACCTATTTTCACTGGCATTATTAAATTTAAATATATTATATATTTTGCTAATTTTTGTTGATCAGGACTTAGATCATAATATATTGTATTTGGCTTACAATAGAGCACATTCTGCACATATAATAAATATTTCTGGATTTATTGGGAGAGTATCGGTCTTACGATACAGTGTACTGATATAAGTATACATACTCATAAATTCAAAAATATTATTTCTAATTAACCTTTGTTCTTCGTCTATGATGGGCGCTACGACAGGTCCGCGCGTACCATATTGGCTGTAGTATGGCTCCTCATAGTTGCTCCTTGTGCTTCGTTCTGGAGAGCTGGTATATCCGTCTGTAAGATCAACTCAGTATAGAAAGTGACTATAGATTTTTTACTGTTTAATATATATAAAACATATATATATATATATATATATATATATATATATATATATATATATATATATATATATATATATATATATATTTATTTATGTATTTATATATATATGTATATATATATACATATAATTTGGAACTTGAAACTAAGATATATATTTATATTTATATTTATTAGCATTGCACATAAAAGTCTTACTAATTGGTAAATATTATTACGCTTAATTTGTAAACCCATAAAAATTTGCAACCAATAAGAGTACATAAATCGTATATATGCAGGTATATGCTTTATACATGGAAATAAGTGATATGTGTTTAATATAGGTAATGGAAGAGTTACATATATGATAGATGCGTGTACCTGGTATACTGTATAATTGATCCGAGGAATATGGAAACAGGGGCTCCATGCTACCCCTTCGATTAATCGATCTGAATGGTTTCACTGGCGTTCCTTTTTATATTTTATATTTTTTATTTAATAATACATCAAATATTTACGCATGGAGTTTTTTCAACAATTGCTAACTTAACATACATATTTATAGAGTTAGAATGTATTAAAACAAAACATTTACGTATTTAAGAACAATATTGCTTCAAAGGAATACCCCTACTTACAGTCACTCTCTCTATAGTAACTGAGCGGATACCAATGCTCCTTTGTTATTCAAATTACATTTAAATAAAGTCTTACAAACAGATATATTTACATATATAACGCTTCAGTTATATATTGACGAGACCTATTATTCATGCTAAACAGACAAACGGAACATACATATATATTCTCTATCACATTCTGATCAAATGGTTATGTGGTACTTGATGAGGGTTGATGAATGTAATTACAGAAACATATATATATAGATATTTATATATATATATATATATATATATATATATATATATATATATATATATGTTTAAATTTTTGTTGCTGTACAAATACACACATATATGTAAGTACATACAAAGTACGAAGTCCTTTGTGATACTGAGATAATATAACCCATTGAATAAGCAATCCAATCTAAGCTAAAACTAAAAAATAAATAAAATAGTGTTCAAGTATATAGATATGGTCTTAAAATATGAATCAAAAATAGATAAGCAATAAGCAATGAACCGATAAGCAAATATTACGTACCCATGGAGACTTTGTTACGATCTGATCCGTACATCCCTCGTGGCAAGGTCTGCGAAGAGCCCACATAATACGGTGCTGGCTGTTTGCCAATCTGAAACAATTTCATATAATATATAATAAACATATAGTAACATAGGAAAAGCGATTATCAATCAAATCCTTACATATTTGTATAAGAAAAAAATTAGAGGTTTGCCAAATTTATAGATATTAATTAGTAATAAATCTTTTCATAGTTCAGGCTTGATAATAGATTTCAAGTCAATACGAAAAAAACTAAAGCTGGAAATCCCAGAGTGCAGGGCCAACAAAATTCCATGCGAAAGAAACGACCCACAAAAGCTGTAACACAGTACACACCCAGCTAATCAAACTCTTTGCCAATTATTGACGCGCTTGGCAGTTAAAAAGCTTTCACTTTATCAGAAACACATGATATACCTTCAATTCTTAAGAGTCAATAAGAAATCAATAAGTATTAGCAACCATCTAGCCATAGGTTAGGCTAATAATTTTTAAGAGCTCCCTTTCGAAAGCCTTACGAGCAGACGGATTCTGAAAATATTCTTGGTCATAACCACATGTGTTGAAAGGGGTTTGATCAAAGTCTTTATTCTATTCTATTATTCTTTCTCAGCAATTCTTTCTCTCAATATTTGTCACAGGAATGTTGAGTTATTATAAGACTATATATTCATATATTAGCATAATATATATTCACATTCATTCGCCGAGACAGCGATTGGGTTGAGACAGGGAGGAAGCTGCGAGTATGTCAGCGCTTAGCAGACAGTAATGCTTAGCTTGCATACATCCATATATTCATAAATACATTAATACATACTATACATGTGAGTATAGCAATGCGAATGGTGTATTTGTTGCATTAAAATGAGCCGCTGTAAAGCACAAAAACAAAACTAGTGAGAGTGCTCATGTCGGCTATGCCTAACTAGTAGGTACCCTGCCACTGTTTCAATATTTCTGCATTCATTCTGCCACATACATATACTGCGGCTCTTATTCATATTCAGCTGCCCACTATGGTAAATGAGCCATTATTCATCTTTGGTTTTGTAATGGTTGCAAACGATGAATGAAAGTTAAGGGCAAAAATATAACATCTATCTTCTTTACTGGACTATTCAGTTGGGCCTTGAATAGCCTGTGTATTGCTAGCGAGATCTTACATACCCATTTCAATGGCTGCAGGGTACAACAAAAACCCAACCAGTTTAAATTTCAATACAATTTTACCATTTGTTACAACTGGCCGAGGGACGTACTCGTGCAACCATCGTACAGTGTGGCCTCAGCTCGTGTTCCGTTGCCAAATCAAATTGAATATTGAATCTCTACAGTTCCATAACAATTTTGCATTTCGCGACGGTTTTCGATTAGAGACTCCACTGTGCGTGGCGACGGGCTCGCTGTATGCGGTTTTGGCTCTTTATGTTTTTATACCCTGAACCCATTGAAAACGGGAAATAAGGGTATAATGGTTTTGCTAAAATGTATGCAACAGGCAGAATGAGGCGTGGCAAGCCCCATGAAGTATATATATTTTTAAGGACAACAAACAGATTCGATTGAACCCTGTCCGTCTGTTCGTAAGTGTGAACACGTCGATCTCAGTATCTGTAAGAGCTTAAGAATGGAATTTGTTGTTGCTCTGTGTATAGCATGTATTATATACTTATATATATATATATATCAGTAGCTGTTTATATAGTAGCATATATTTGTCTATCATTTATATCACGTAAACTGACTAAAAAAGTAACAGATGTGTAACAAGTAATAAACAGCAGACAGAAAAAACACATTAGATTCACATATATGCAGTATATATGTATAACATATATATTCCCGATCGGAAGACAAGTTGTGTGTATATAGCTAATTCTGTCCGTCCGCATTTCTTTCTACTTCTAACATAACTCAAATTAGTGTAAATTCTCACTCAAAAAGTGCTCAAGAGATCTGCTGGAATTGCTTCTTGAGTGACTTTTGTGTTTGGGCGCAGCAGCGGCTGTGGGCGATCAGTCAAGTTCATGACCTGGACTAGGTCAGTCATGCGGTCCAGTGGAAGTGGGGAATGAATTTAAATTTTGTTGTTAAATAATAATATAATAAATAATTTGTATTTATTTAGTAAATATTAAAATATATATTTCAGACTTTCTTGTTTTTAATAAGTGTCTATATATAATAATAAATATTTAATTCTTTAAATGTTATAAATATATAATTTTAAGTAACTTTAATTATTATTAATAAACACTGATTGACGTTATAATGAAGTTCGTCGTAATGTTCATTAGTGATAATAATAATTTTTTAACGATGATCATTTATTACTGGTTATTGTCATTAACGATAATGATTATTAGCAATATGATTTTTTCATGATCATTTTCGCAGTGCTTAGTGTTTGTCTTAGGCAGAAATCTCTTCTCTTTATTTTCATATTTATGACAATTTTTCTCTTTTTAAATAGAAAAATGTCTAAAATAAATAAATAAAAAATTGTAACGTCAGAAAAAAATATAAAACAATTAATATATTAATATTCATACTGATATTAAATTAGATATAGACCTATATATAATATATATTTATACCTATATGGAATGACCATATTTATTAATTTGGTAGAGTTGATGCGCGTTGTGTAGTTAACTATTATATGTATTTTTTTGTAATGCCATGGGACATATTAAAAACCGCAGATAGGAGTGGGTTTAGGGTATCTCCTAGTCGGGCACCTCGACTAGAGCTTTCTTACTTGTTTTTTTTTTTCTTTTTGACTGCGGCCGAAACAGCGCTGGAGCATGCGTAGCCGACTAGTAAAGTGCGAGACAGCGCCGCAGACGGACGTATAAACGCTTTGAGTTGAATTAAAAAAGCAAAAAAGACCAAAGACTAAACTCAAAAATTATAATATCCCGGTAAAATGTTTTGGCAAACGGGCTGGGGAGCGAGCTTAGTGCTCAGTGCGTTTCTTCTTCTACACGTTGACAATTCCTTGGGATGGAAGCCAATCGCATCAGCTGGCAGTCCTATAACATCCTATAGCTTAAAGCAATCACATCCAGGCGAGGCCAGCAGCAGCCACGAGCTGGCCACCAGCTATGCCCAATTCGGTGACCCAAAGGAGGAGGACGATCTACTATTGACGCGTGCCGCTTTGATAAATGGAGTTGAGTCCTCTCATCCCCTTACATTAGCTGACGATCACGAGAATCATTATGACTCATATAGCTTGAAGGATGAAGTTATTGAGGAGCCTACAGTTAGCTTCCCGCGCTCTAACCTCTACGCCTCCGATCGCTGCAGTGTCAAAAAGTTTGCATTCAACCAAGACGGGGCAGTGGAGTATAATAACGAGCTACCCGAGTTGGACCAGTTCACGATATGTTTCTGGATGCGTTTCACCAATCACAGCGGCGATCATGTGATGCTAACCTACGAAGGTGAGTGTGTAGCTAATCCACCAATCACTAAGGGATTATCATCTCATTCGTTGCGTACCACATCAACTTTTATAAGGCAAGACCATTGTAGATACTTTCTTTAATCACGAACACAATCGTCGGCGACCTTTTACATAACCGTACGTCAATTCGATGCCCCTTCAGCCAGCCATGCAGCATAAAAGCCGTTTGCTACGCGATCTGTGACCAACACAAATTGTGGGTCGAAATCTGGCCCCAAAAAGTGAAAGGGTTTAAACTTCCTGATCCAAGTGTTGTTGTTGATGTTGACGGGGTTTTACGATATTTTTGATGCGAAATTGACAGATGAGATGATGTGTGACGACGGGGCTTAACAGCTTTTTGATGGTCAACATAGTTATCCGTGATTATACGAAAGTACGTTTTATTATTATACGCTGTAACGTATCGGAAACTGGGCATATTGGTTTTTACATAAATGTAATGTATGTAACACTTGACCTAAGATGATCTTTCTTTGTGCTTTATCTTGAGAATAACAATGTTTTTTTAACTTGAAATTTGAATTAGGCAAATAGACATATAGATATATATATAAAAAAAACGCATTTACTTAATATCGATCAAAACAGGTTTTTGACTGGGCTCCCAAAATTATCACTCATTCTGTCATAATCAAATCAAATAGTCGAAGTTACATTGAAATCACTCTACTCCCTATGTAAGTATATAGGGCGTGTGTGTATACAAGCAAGTAAGAATTCATGAATGCAGAAGCAGGGTATGTGGTAGTCGAGTAGGTCTGCCTAGAGGACTCTTACTTTTTTTATTATACTAAAAAATCTGAAAATATCTTAGAGATGGTTTTTACAGTCTTTGCCTTTCATCTTCGCCATTTCCCAATGCCCCGTTGACTTGAAACCGCATTACATAAGCGTTAAGTTTACCTGTTTGTGCTGTCGCTGCTGCCTTTGCTGCTATTGTTGCTGCTGCTGCTGCTTTTGTTATTTTAACTGCTTGAGATTATTTTAAATATGCAATGTGAGTTGCCTGAAAAGCTTCCGGAGTAACTGACAGATGCCGTGTTGACCCCCGGGACAACGCCTCATCGCGCATTTACCTCACCTCACCAGCAAACGTGCAGAGCGAAACACACTTTTGCAATGGAAAGCCAACTAAACTGGTAGACGGTTACTCTCCGCTAACAGATATTACATATGCAGCTATTATGTTTAACAGGATTTTTGGTATATTTCCCGTTATTACTCTCGCTGCCACCATAGCCGACCGACCGGCGGATATATATGTAGATGTCTTTACCCGAGAGCCAGCAGTGTGGCATGCTTATTGAGTCTTTGCGGAGTAGGTTACACACATATTTCACTAGTTTCAAGAAAAGCTATATACACCCATGTTGATACCCTAGGAAATGGAAACAATGTACACACAGCTCAGTTATTCGTACATGTTTCAAGAAGGCTTTAATTTCAGTACTAATTGCTTAAAGAGAGACCATGCTCATACCATGTAATCACTGCTGGCTGCACTTCAAGTAGATCATTATAATTAGAGGAATCAAATATAGTTGATAGATGGATAGAATAGATTTAATGGTAGATCTTTCGAAAAAAATTAAAAATTGTCAGCCCTGTCGTGTAGCATTGCATAGTTGCATAGCTGAAGCATCTTTCACTTTTTAGATAACATTTAATTAGGTGACTTAGTCGGTTGGTTGGTTGGTTGGTTGTCTAGCTGTCTAGCTGGATGGCTAGCTGGGTGATTGCAACTCAGCATCACGCAATTTGCTCGGATTTCATAACAGCCATCGACGGCAATTGAACGTTGATTTTTATTTCTCAAATTAACTCTGTCTCCACTTCTACAGTCGAAAAGGAACCACGCGAGATACAAATCTGGGTCGCGAATGCGCAAAATTCCAGTTTCCTATCGATGGCCATAAAAGGTCAGCAAATGTACAGGTACGTCGTTTCCAATTAACTGTATACATATATACTTCGCTGTTCTGTTACTATATTGGAGCCATGCAATGATTTTTCGAATCCAGATTGAATTATCCGCTGCGTATGCGGCAATGGCATCACATGTGCAGCTCGTGGAATGGCAAGACCGGCGAGTGGCAGGTCTGGCTGAAGGCAGAACGCATTGGACGTGGGTTCCATAACTCGGTGAGTAATCTCCAATTACCCTGACGCGACGGAACGGAACGGAAACGCTTGCCAATCTACCTGTCTACAAGACTAACTACATCAATCTGGTTACCAGCCAGACTATTGCAGCAGATATTAAATGTCACAACGGTCTATAATCGATCAATAATCTTACTCTACTTTACTCATTGAAATAGCGAATTCAGGGTAGATTAGTTATGCAGAAAGAAGTAGGCTTGAGCGAACCCCTTGGCTAAACAGACCCGTCGCTCTAGTCATGTTTCTCAATGTGTCCGATGGTAAGAAGAAAAGACTTGATCAGTTTTGTTTGAAATAATGGATAATTTTATAGACTTCTACATAAATCAACTTAAATCGATATAAAATTTTATTCATGTCCCGTTCTAAATGCTAGACGCATAATATATTGTGTGTTAAGTAGAATGTTTGAAGAAGTAATAGGGCTTAGGGTATCTGCAAGTCGGCAACACAACTAGCCATAATTTTAGCTTGTTGAATTTGTTTTGCGATTTACAATTTCGAAATCGAATTTTGCAGCTGGTAGGCCATAAAATACCCGCGAAGGGAAAGCTACGGTCGGGTGGTAGTTCAATAACTGGGCAAGTAAGTCATGGCCTCCACTTTGAAGTAACGCTCGTGCAAATTTATCGGGTGGCTTTAAGCGCGGGAAAGGCACATCGAGATCACAAGCACCACCATGTGCACCACTTTGATCACGAGGGTCAGGAGGTGTCCAGCACAGCGCGTGCTCCACCCATGGTTCGTATAGTTACAGAGATTCCACAGCTAATCCTTCAGCTAATACCATGCACAAACTGCTTATCTCAGATCAATCGACCACAGCCAATGCACTCGCTGTTGGCCAGTGGACAAATTCCAACCAGAGTTCGCATCAATCTGGCCAACTCAATGCCCACGCAGAAGCCATTGAACGGCGTGGCTGATCAAGCGATTACAGTGAACACAAATTTTGTCAATGGACAAATTAATGCTGGCTCTCGATTGGTAGCACAGCAGCTGCTCGGCATCTCGCCCATACCCCAAGGAAGGGCCACGGCCCAAAATGAGCCTATAACGGGACGTTTCCAGATGCTAAGCAACTCAGCGAATGTCCAATTCATAGATGAAACAGAGACGCACATACAGTTTAAACGAGAGGCAGCTAAAGAGCGAAAGGTTCAAAAGCGTGGCTTAGTCTTACTTGACGATGGGTCCGTGGTGGATGATGGCCAACTGGATGGTAACAGCGAGTCATTTAGCAAGTACAATGGCTTGGCCGACTTTGGTGGTCAGCAGTTCAAGCAGGATTTGACTTTGAAGATGACTCTGGAGGAGGAGATCAGCACACACGATCGCGAACCAGCTGAGGAGGAGGTCAAGGCCGTTATGGGCTTCTGCAGCAACTGCGACCCAGAGCCCTTCCAAGGTGCTATCGTCTTCGCCTGGAAGGATGTCAACGAGCATATGAATAACACTCTGAAAGGCCTCAGCGTGGGCGACTGCGGCAATTTCTAATACCTCCCGCTCAATCACCCACTCAGTCAGCAGTTAATCCTGTCCAGCTAAAGGTACTCTTAAACAGGGTGCTGCATATAACGCTTATTGTACATACATACATACATTGTTTTGTTTGTTTTTTGTTTTTTTTTTTTTGCTTCGAATGTACTTGAATATATGTAAGTGTACATAGGTATATATGGTATAAGTATATGTGGCTGGATAGCCCGGCTTTACATATCGTATCATAGCAGAACCCTCTCACCTCTATGTATATATGCAAATATTTATATAAATATCTAAACAAATAGCAATTGTGGGTGTTGAAATAATGTTAATGCGAAAATAAATAGCTAATATCTGTAAATTAGTCTCTGAATTCGGCACTTTAAATATAACGATGTAAGTTAGATATACTCCCTACTAAGCGGGATCTTATAAGGCATTCGGTCAATCTTTGATTTGCATCTTTTTCGAGGTCTTTATAACAAGCTCTAATACAATCTATCGCCTATGTTAACTTAATCTATTAATGGTTCTACATAGGAAGGAGTCTTACCTTCGATTTATGAATGTGCTGATGCTTGAAATCCGAATCGAATTCGGGCTCGCTGAAATAGCTCTGATCCTGATCCCAACTAGAAGGCGCCTGGGGTAAGGGCTGCGGTATGCCCGGACCACCAGGCAGAATCTGTGGAGGAGCGGCTACCTCTGTCGACTCAAACAGACGCAAGACGGAGCGATCGCGAATTTCGCGCAGATGGGAACGTACATCTTCCAGCTCATAAAACATGTCCTTACTGGCATCGTGTATGTAGATCTTAACGTTGGGTCCTTCCAAGTACGACATTGTCAGCTGACGGGGAAACGAGCGCACGAACAACGCACGCACCGTATCTATCGAGGTGATTTCATTTGGTAGCAAAGCTCGCTTGGTCTCTGAGCGATATTGCAGAAAGACAAGTCCAAGCGGTCTCTCGAGCGTCTTCGAGGGCGTTCGTACTACTGGCAACGAAGAGCGCTGTTTACCGCCTCGTCGAAAGCCAGTGCTGGCAGTTTCCACCTCAGACATAATGCCCGGATCGTCGTCAAATAGGGGACCCTGATTAACGGGTGCATAGCCGCGCATCGGTTGATTTTTCTTGTTCTTTTGCGCTCGTGTGCTCATCTGTTATAGAAAAAAGTTATTGATCTGATATATTGAATGTAATGGTGATTTGGCTTGCTTCTAAATCCATGGCTCGCTGCTGCTGCTGCGCCATTTGATGCGGATGCGGATGTTGGGAGCTGCCGTAGACCAGAATGTCACCGCCGAGCGTGTGTCTGCGAGGATCATCGCGTCGCATTGCGCGCCTACGCTCGTCGCCACCTTTAAGAGAATATGAGAGAGAGTACATATATACATACAATCATCTGACGATGAAATTTAATGCTTACCTTGTTCGTTACTTTGCATGCGACCCGGTTTGTTTTCATTTTGCCAGTCTTCTTCTGAAAAACGTATCAATTAAGGAATACACTAAGCAATCGATCGTTTTTTGTATCGATACTATCGATAGCTTAAATTAGCAGAGGCTCTAATTGAAGTATTTGCACATATTCATTTGCTTATCTCTGCATATGAGCGCATGCACGCACCAAACTATGTTTGCGTGTGCTTTTGTGTGTGAAGACTTTCCGTGCGCTTTTCAATTCTATTTTATTTTATTAGCACTTGAGTGTTATAGTCTTGTATGCAAACACACACACAATATATATGCAAGTACATGTATGTATGTGTATGCAGCCGTTAATTTATACGTTATACTGTTTGGTTTTCTTACCTCCTTCTCGTCCTTTGCGTTTCTTCTTCGATGATGAGCTGCTGCTCGCATTGCCGCTTTGGTTAGTTGATGCACTTTTATCTTTACTCTTCCAACGGATCAACATTTTGTCGATTCACAAGTTATATTTGTATTTGTGCAATAAGTTGTGTTTCGTTTAAAAGTTCTTCTGCGTTAGCTTTGTACACTGCAACAAAAAATAAAAAAGTAAAATTTTCTTTCTGTATATGTGTGCTATATATATATAGATAACATATATGTATGTATGTGTGAGTGTCATACAGTCGACAGTGCGGGTTGTCTTGTTTAAACTTTGTTTACATTTTGAGCCGGTACGAATTTCGTAAATGTACGTATGAGCCTCTTTAAGTGTACATACCTACACACACACTCATGTAAGTAAATATATATTTTGATACCTTGTGTACATATTTGTCAAAAGTTTCTTACGCATCTTAAAGTAACAGTATAATTGTGTATGTGTATATGTGTCTGAATGTGTGTATGTATGTGCTTGTGTATGAGTATGTAGCATAATATGTAATGTGGGTGTGGTGGCAAGCATCGATAGACGCCGAATAAGTACGAATACTTTTGTTCCTTCGGGACCTGCAGACAAACGTATATATGGATATACATATGAATGTCTGAGTGACTTTCTCTATGGATATATTCATCTTGTTCTATACATATGTACATATAAGTATATCTCTTAAAATATCTATTTAAATTGGATTTCGGTATGCTTCTCAGCTGTATTTACATATGCATGCACGTATGTTTGTGTGTATGGGAGTGCGTATGTATGTCAGTTGGAAGTGACGCCTTTAGTATACATAAATGCATACGTATGCGAATCCCCGTATTTACTTTGGATTGAAACTCATTTAATACGAGTTTCTATTCACTTATTCACTTCAATTTTTAAATGCTTAAAACATTAATAAGAACTGTTAAGTGGGCTAGAAGCACATGCCTATATATATCGGTATGTATATATATATATATATATATATATATATATATATATATATATATATATATATATATATTTATATATATATATATAATAAAAAAAGTTAAGTTAAAAATATGTTGTAGCACTACCATGGCCGGTTGTTTAACGTCTAAATATATATCAGGATATATTAATATATATAATTCTAGACTTGTCGGTTAGATTTGGCTGATACTTGAGCTCATCTTGCGTTTGTTGCAGACGTCGTAATTGACCGCGTTTAAAACCCGTTCGATACGTTTTAACACTCGACAGCAAAATTATTTCTGGTATATCAGAATACGTTTCCGCCCTAAAAGCTACGCGGGATACCCAGTCACGACGCATGCGTTGGCAATCGCTGTTCCAGTGCTGCCAATATGCATGGGACAATCGCTCGGCAGTGCTGCCAATTTGCACAAACAAATTCAAAGTCTGCAAACCAAATGCTAATTGCCAGACAGGTAAATAAAAGAAAATAACTCAAAAATTAATTAACAAGAAAAGGCTTACAAAAATGATCAAAAACAATTTTGGTTTTCGAATTTAAACTGCAAAACATAAAAGAAAAACAATTTTTTAAATGGTTTTTTAAATAATTTATTTTCAAATTAATATATATAATACTAATTTGTTTTTCAATAATAGCTATGGAAACTATATGTATTTACATTTAAAAATGGATTTTTTCAGTTTGAAACTGTGCACACGCCTATGTGGCGCCATTTGCCATATATGGGGCGTATGAATAGCTTTCCATCAATAATAAAGAATAGAACAGAAACCTCTCTAGGTTGAACATGATATAAACATAAAGAAGTACACATCCTTCTCAGGACGCAAAGAGTAGAGTTCTATTTGTATCGTTTTATCTGTAGGTTATCCTATATAGCCTTAACTATAGGGAGTATACGACGGGAGGAATAGCTTTGTTTCATATAAAAATGTATTTTGACTTATTCTTCATCGCTTAATGTATATATATGTAGACAACAATGCACAAGTATTACAAATAGATATTTTAATATGTACATATAAAACGGACCTAACGAATTCAGGTTTTACAGATAACAGTTGTATAGTCCTATATATATATATATAAGTTAACACATAACATTTAATATAGGGTATTTCATAAGTTTATAACCAACCCTCGCTATCGCGTGTTTCGTAAGTTAAGAAACAGCCCTCGCAATTGCGACACTGCATACTTTGTATCAGCGCGCTATAACTGCAATGGTCAGCGGCGGTAACCAGATACTTTTGTTTACTGCAAGAGTTTCCGTTATTGCCTAAGATTGCTGAGTCGGCTTGCCGACCATGACATTGTGGTGTGATGCGAGTTTTGGCTTAGCTTAAGTGAAATATTCTATGTAGCTAAAAATCAGTTTTGCATTGAAGTTTGAAGAATAAACCCGCACTACTCCGGCACACCGCCGTAATCAAATTGTTATATTTCTGATCATTGCTGAGCCACAAGGCCAGTTAATAGAAAAGGGGGTGAAGTCAAACCCTCCAACATAATCATCATAAGAAGATTATAATTACCCGACCAACGCTGGACCTGCCACCGACGCCTAGCTCATCGCTGGACCAGCAACTTATTGATTAAGACTATAAATACCCGATCAACGCTGGACCTGCCACCGACGCCTAGTTCATCGCTGGACCAGCAACATATTAATTGGCGCCCAACGTAAAAAAAAAAAAAAAAAAAAAAAAAAAAAAAAAAAAAAAAAAAAAAAAAAAATTTTTTTTTTTGGAATTTAAATCAGAATTTCATATTGCGATTGCCTGACAACGTCATAGCCGAATGCGATGGAAAAACCCACACACTGCAGAGTTGCACCGCTTCACCTGGAGCCACCTTTTGTCGTCTGGCATTAGAGAGTTCATGTGCCAAAGAGCTCCATGCAGGTGGCACGGCACACTGTGAAATCCAGCCGAGCAACCTGGAAATAATCACCCACGTAGATGATGGAATCATCATTCTTAACGACGGGTCCGCAAGGATCCAGGTGGATAACGGCACTGAAATCCAAGTACACGGCACGCATCTCATTACGTTCGGGGACCGAGTCGCGATCAACGGGACTCTGTTTTACAACCACAACAACGTACGCAATAGAGTCCCGGGCATTGCCAACTCTCCCTTGCTGAACATCACTGCCAGCCAAGATGTCCTCAGCCTCCCTTATCTTCATCGTTTAAATGAACGTAATTTGGAGGAGATACAGCAATTCAAGAAAGACGCCGGAACTGATCAAGCTTATCGTGTGGCATTCATCATTGGAGGTATATGCTGTGCTTTAATCTGCATTGGCCTCACCCTTTGGCGGTTCATCGACGCAAGGAAGTCTGCGAAGCAATTACGAGAAGTCGTCGCCGGAATTGGGTCGGCCGAGGGCGGCCTTACACTTGAAGGGGGAGTAGTTAACACATAACATTTAATATAGGGTATTTCATAAGTTTATAACCAACCCTCGCTATCGCGTGTTTCGTAAGTTAAGAAACAGCCCTCGCAATTGCGACACTGCATACTTTGTATCAGCGCGCTATAACTGCAATGGTCAGCGGCGGTAACCAGATACTTTTGTTTACTGCAAGAGTTTCCGTTATTGCCTAAGATTGCTGAGTCGGCTTGCCGACCATGACATTGTGGTGTGATGCGAGTTTTGGCTTAGCTTAAGTGAAATATTCTATGTAGCTAAAAATCAGTTTTGCATTGAAGTTTGAAGAATAAACCCGCACTACTCCGGCACACCGCCGTAATCAAATTGTTATATTTCTGATCATTGCTGAGCCACAAGGCCAGTTAATAGAAAAGGGGGTGAAGTCAAACCCTCCAACATAATCATCATAAGAAGATTATAATTACCCGACCAACGCTGGACCTGCCACCGACGCCTAGCTCATCGCTGGACCAGCAACTTATTGATTAAGACTATAAATACCCGATCAACGCTGGACCTGCCACCGACGCCTAGTTCATCGCTGGACCAGCAACATATTAATTTATATATATATATATATATATATATATATATATATATATATATATATATATATTATAATTTTATAGGAAAACAAAAACAGATGTATATATATATATATAAACATATATAAATATGTATATATGTTTATATATATATATATACATCTGTTTTTGTTTTCCTATAAAATTATAATATATATATATATATATATATATATATATATATATATATATATATATATATATATATATATATATTGTTGTTGTTGCTGATGATGATGCATCATTTGTTGTGTCCCGTTTGCATAAGTTTTGTTTGCATTATTATTGATTTTATGTTCGGCTTAAATTATGAGAGAGAAAGGGACAGAGTGGGACATGGAAGAGAGAGAATACGGCGCACAGTTTCGTGCGAAAGAGACGCACTACTATCTGCAGCAGAAATCGGATAGAATTAAGAGCTAGAAATCTATGTCGTCTATAACTTATATATTTGCACTAGAGGCTATTAAAAGAATAATTTTGAACCGCTATATGTATATGTATATATATGTGTGTGTGCGTGAGTGTGTGTGTGGATGAAAATGTTTGGGTCGGGGAATGATTCAGTGTCGTTCCATGAACTTTAACCTAGTTTGCGACGTCTTGTCGACGAGGGCGTTGGCACGGTTGGGGGCGTAGTCGCAAGCGCCATAACAGGCAGAGCGACGGGTGAGCCATGGCCCGGATACTGTAGATGCTGCACCACAGACAGCTGTGGCTGCTGTTGCTTCAGCAGCTTGGCAGCCGCATGCGCTTCGGCTGCCATCACCGGCTGCAGTAGATCGCTGATGTTCTTGCCAACACCACAACCGCTCATGCCGGCACCTGCATTTCCATTATCACAATCGTCATCGTCTGAGATCAGGGAGATGCTTAGGTCGCTCGACAGCTTCAGCGAGATGGGCGCAGGTGGCGATGGCGCCACCATGGGCGCTACCTTGGCACGCATTGCGGGCGACAGTTTCTGCAGTTGCTCTGGCAACATATCATGCGCGTACTCCGGCACGCCACTGGAGGCGAGCCCTTCCCGTAGCTTGCTCAGCGACAGTTCGTAGATGCGATTCGCTATGACTGTGTGCACGGTCGTCTCATCCGGCAGCGCAGCCGTTTCCTCGTTGGGCACATCGACTCTCAAGAAGCCATCAAAGTGATTTTTGGGCGACGTAATGGTAGGTGTGCTGCAGCTGCTGGGATGGCTGTTGAACGACAACTCACAGGGCTGCCGCCGTCGCTGGCGCGCTTGGCAATTTGCTGTGGTTGAGCTACGCGGAACCAGCGAAACGGTCACTTCCTCGATGGTATCGGAAAAGGTGAGAGGCGCCAGCGGCGGTGGCGAACGCATCAGCTGACGCCTATTGTGGTTTAGCTTGATATCTTCGTCGTCGCTGGTCAGGACTATGCTCTCGTTTAACGTAGAGGCTGTAACTGCTGCGCGCGATGTAACATCTCCATAGCGCTTGCTTTTGCGAGGCATCAGGTGCATCGATGTCGAGTTCTGCGCCGGCGCATAGTCTACTGGCACCAAAGTGATGTTCGGCACATTTGACAGCTGTAAACTTCCAGGCGAGGCATATGCCCCGTGTCGAAAAAGTCCGTTGGCCGCGGGCGGCTTTGCTGCAGTTGGTTGCGATATGTCTTCTGCGTCGGCGTCGTCTCCATCGTCATCCGAGAGCAGGTCAATGGTGATGTCAGCAGGTAGTGCAGCAGCCACGTGACGTCGCGATACCATCAGATGGCAACGTCGTCTACTGCGATCAGTCTTCGAGGCGGCCGAGTGGGTCATGTAAAACTGCTGACGTTCCCTCAGCCGCTCCATCCATTTGCTGATGCGGCGCCTGAGGCGCCTGTTATCGAACAGATTGGATGAGATGTAGAATGGTTCGGAATGTTTGGTATTCATTGCTGCAAAACAAAATGGAAGCACTTTTATTGAATTCCAATCATCGAATGTACTACTCACTGCTGCCGCTGATGGTGCTGCTGATTTGAGCGTGATTATAACGATTTGCAAGAGCTGAGCATTGCCGCCCTGTGGCCAGGCCGAATTGGTGCAACCCACCCAGGTTTAGCACCAAGTACAGTTAGTTGTTGCCGCAGTTGCAACTTGCATAATTGCGTTGAATCCACTTAAGGTTTGGTTAACAAATGGGTACCAGTTAGCTACAGCTGCTGCTTTTTTCTAATTACCATCTTATACACGAATTTGTTTTGTTAAATTTCGTTGTTTTCGTCGCAGTTTATCGCGTTTGCGTTCAGTTTATGTTGCCTTTTGTTTTTGTTGTATTTTTTTCGTGCTGTTTATTTTGGTGTAGGGATGTAAAGAACTGCATCGATAGCAATGTTATCGATATATCAACATTACGACAAGCACACATGCAACCAAGCGCAATGGTTATTGTCTTGGCTAGCAACTGTTTGGCGGGATAATTTTAAACTTGATAATTAGACAATTTGATAATTTACGACTCAATGGCCAAAATTCATGAAATTCAAACGGCGAATCTGTTTTATTTATTATTCAATTAAACATCAAGATATATGTATAAATGTATATATTTATAAATACCGTCTAATTTGATTATTAGTAGTGCGACTTGTATCGTTGGTCTGTCAGTCAGTCAGTCAGTCAGCGGCTTGGATGTGTACTGATTTGTCAGGTCTCTTGTGAGTTGCGAGACGAATGGCTCCGACAGGCAACCCGAAGTTGGCTATCACATAGACCGACAGTTAGCTAAGGAAACCTACCAACACGACAGCCAGTCCGAACGAAAAGTTAATAAAAAAAGTTGAGCACAAATTGGCGCCACCCACAAATGTTGAGCTGCAGTTACGATTGGGCACATGCGCTTTCGCTTTGAGTGGCATTTCGCGAGCTTTCACTCAACACGAAGCAAGCCAGCTTTCTGCCAGCTTTTGGGTGCCAACATATTTTTGTCCAGCATCAGTCGGCATTTAGCCTTTATCACTGTTGTGTGCGGAGAGTTCGTTGTTTGTTTTTTTTTATTTATTTTAAATTAAATGGCTAATTATAATTATAACTAAAATTATATCAATATTTTCGATATGAAGATGGGATAGAAAATGATGTCTTATCTTATTACTGCCATTGTGTATACATGACCATATAGATAAACCGAAAACTATGAAATTATCTTAAATATTTTTGAAAAATTGTATGTTTTTGAAAATTATAATTATATATATGAAGATTCCGCTAGCAATATTCATTAACCACATTCAAGGCATTTTTGAAACAAATTTCAGACCCTTTGCAATCTGCTAAGTGCGATTTTAAGGTTCTTTTAATTCCGAACTGCGACTCAGGCTTTGGCAGCAGAGGCAGAGGCTGAGGCCGAGGCAGAGGCAGAGACAGAAGCAGAAACAGAAGCAGAGGCTAATGTCTACTTTAAATATTGCAAGCGTCGGAGTTAGTCTACCATTTAGCTTAAGGAAAACCGCCCACTCGGCAAAAAAGCGACTGGAGCGCAGGGAGGGGCGTTGGAGCGGGCTTTGTGGCGGAGATAGCATAAAGACAATAGACAGGAACCACAACAAAAATTATAGACTCAACTTGGCTTGACTTGCCACTTGGCCGCCCACAGCTCCAGTTGCCAGCTTTAGGTCTAGCTGCCTCGCCCGCAGCTCCAGTTGCAGCTCCAGTTGCGCTTTGGCCGCTTAAATTCAACAAGCGCGAAGAATAAAGCATTTGCCGCGTTTAGGCGCAAGCAGACCTCGACACTGACTCCGACTACGACACCGGCATTGAGTGTGACTACGACTCCGACACCGACACCGCTCCGACCCCAAAGGACGACCCCACTGCAATGGTTTCCTGCCTCAGACTTGGCTTGGGCTCAGTGTCGACTGCGCCGGCTGTGCCGGCTGTGCATTAAAATGAATTTCTTTTGTATGCGTTGTGCTTCGGAACCGTAAGACTCGAGCCGTAGTCGATTTGAATGAATGCACGTCCTTGCTGTTTTTGTAGCGGAGCTCTGAGCAAGGCTCAGCGGCAACCGCCCCTGTCCCCTCTCTGCTCTCTTTCATCCTTTATCCTTTTTCATTCCCCTCGCCGCCCTCATCAGTGGCGGTGAAGTGCTGGCACATCGATATTGCCCTCGTCCTTGTCGGCGTCATCGTCGTCGTCCACGTCCACTTCCACGTTGAGTTTGCTTCTTGACGTCGTTTGGCGGGACGTCTTTTAAGTGTTTGCATTTTTCAGGTGTTGAATTTTCATTGTACTTGTTTTTGCTGTTGCCGCACTTGTTTTCCTTTGCTTTCTTTCTCCACCCCTTTTCTTCTGGTTTTTTCCATTTTTTCAATTTTTTTCTTGTATTTTTGGCATTACGCCAAATGTGCAAAGCCAACAAAATACCAAAAGATTGCACATTGCACCTGTCTTTTGGACGGCATTTTGGTTTACGGCTTCAGTCTGCTCAGCTTTTGTGTACGTGGCCAAATGTGTGTGTGTGTATGTGTGTGTGTGTGTGGGCGGCTGCTCTAGGGTAATTCTATGACATCTCCTTGTTGCTGTTTGCTCTTATAGAATTTCTTGTTGTTGTTTTTATGGATGCTGCTGGTTAAAGATGGCGCCGTTGTCATCAACAGCCTGCCTTGTTAGTTCCTCAAACTACTTATACCCTGTTTGCCCAAATGCGCTCTGGGGCTCGATGCTGCGCACCCAATTGACAGAGGAAAAAGTCGAATATCCTCTACGCTGACCGCTAGGTTCAGCTAGGCCTAGTCTAGCGCCTTTTGAAGGGTAACTGACAGTCGGGCATGCGCGCCTAAGACAACATCTCACATGTGATTGCTTTTCTGCTTGTGTGTTGGGTTAATATAGCCATTTAACCTGCATTACCATTTTTTCCCTGCTGTCAACGGAAGATTATAATAAAATATATGAAATTAATATATTAATATATAAATATAGAAATATATAAATCGACATTTAGATATATATGTGATTTAGCTTACAGGCAAAGGCAAAGGCAAAGGCAAAGGCAAAAAGCTGGCCGAGATTCAAAGAAGTCTAATTGGGATGAAAAAGCATAAATTTAGCTTTTCCTTTTAGTTCGAATGGTATTTGGAGAGTGGGTTCAGCTGCACCTGCACCTGCAGCTACACCTGTGTCGTCTACCTGGACAGCGGCAAGTGCCCAGCAGCGGTAAGTAGAAATTTGCGTCAATAGGATTGTTAAAGAGGCTTAAGTTAAATGGGAAAACTTCCGAATCAATGAACCGCAAATTGCATGCGAAATGCCAAAACGAAAATGTCGCCGACCAACGGACCGTCTGCTATTTGAGCTTATGTGTGTGCGAGTGTGTGTGAGTGTGCACGAGTGTGTGTGTGCTCTCCATACATATAAGAATGACATAGTGAAACGATCCGTTCGCCTTGAAAACTGAACTGAAATCAAAGTCGCATATCTTAAGAGCGGCTTACTATTCACATAATTCTAATAATACTAAAGAACTTATGAACGAACATACACACACACACACACACACACACAGACACATACACATGTCCAGGTGGAGAAGGCTTGGCAAGAAAAACCAATCAGAGCTTAGCTTTTATTTAGTTTTGTAGTGCACTTCAGAGAGGTCTCTCTTTCTCTGCTAGACAGCGGGGTAGGTGGGGTCAGGGCTGGGTTGTTGACAGATCTTCTCGACTTGCATAGACTTGGTATTGTCAACTCTGTTGCAAAGTGGTTGCAACAATGCCACAACATGTTGCAGCGGCCACAGCTCACGAGTATAAGTACACAACTGTCGCTTTTATAGGGTATTTTCGAAATGGTTCACTCCAGCAACTCGAGTACACTCACTCGTCCTTAATGGCAATTTCATTTCCTTCAACAAGTTATAAAACATGTGCGTCTGTATGTGTGTATGTATGTGTGTACGCGTGTGTGCACGTACGTTAACTAGGGGTTGGTGGGGGAGGCAACAACAGCGATGACAGGGAATTCAATTTCGCGTATTTTCTTAACTTAATCCTTTTGACAAGCCATCAAGGACATACAGACAGATGTATGCATGTGTGTATGTATGTATGAGCATATTGATGCCAGCGCACATCCCATTTATTTATGAACAGTAAACATACATATACATGCTGCATAAACTGGCATTAGGCGGGTATACATATACATATATGTATGTATATTATTATATCTAAGCCCACGTTCATCCCTAGATCAAAGACGAATCCATACAGAGGATAAACGAAGCGATTGCCACTTAACTAGTCGCATTTGGAGGTGTTGCTTGGCTAGCTTACTTAACCAATAATTATTGCGTTGTCAGATTATATATCTCGTATTAAGCTAAGCCATCTATAACCACCCTGCGTTAGGGCATTACACCAGGCAAATGGGAAACAATCTGGGTATGCGAGTACATAAGTATACGGAAGACATGAAGATGACTGTGTGAGTCTTCTAGTAGTGGTCGCACAGTGGTTCATTACCATTGGCACTGCAGTTAGCCAAGAAGCTCATTATTGAACTAACTGGAGGTATTTCCCAATGTGAGAGGAGTTGAACCCACTGTGCGGCGCACAGTGGTACCTTGCTATTGGAACAGAATCAAGCGATGCAGTGCCTCAACTGCAATGCAAACCAACTTGACACACTGGTTTGGTGGGTACCTAGACGCGGCTCAGTGAACTGACAATCTGCTTCAACAGAGCTGTATTATCAGAAAGAGATCGACAGTCGATAGTCATATGTGTATCTGTAAGCAAATGGCAAATGAAACAATGTTTCCAAAGAGATCAAATATATGCAATTTCTTAAGTCTACAAGCAGCTGGCAACTATATGGCCCCACTGTCGCAGCTGTGGGCGCCTATATATATATATATATATATATATATATATATATATATATATATATATATATATATATATATATATATATATATATATATATATATATATATAAATATAAGCTACATGCTGTGTGTTTGTGTATTTGTTTATTATCCCTGGTAATGCATGCAAAGATGCTGCAAAGTAGCTTAATACTTTATGCTTGCAATGAAAGGACTTTTTACGATCGTATTATACTTGTAGGTACTTATATTTTTGTAGATATTCCACTCGTCTCCATTCGATACAAGCGGATAATGCGCAAGTGTCTGCATGTGTGCATGCATGCATCTATGTATGTATGTCTGTGTGTCGAGGTTGTCCCAGTCAGTTGGGGCTGGGATGTCCTTATCGTTCCCGTTCTCGTTCTCGGGTTCGGTTTCGTTTTCGTTTTCGCTTTTTTGGAGTTTGGTTTTGGTTTGTGGACGCACTTGCTAGTCCTATCGCCTTTTACACAAGGGTGCATGTTAAATGGGCGATACCATGTCGTATGAGTGATAGCTGGTGCGCATAAACTATGCAATAAATAAGTTTATTATCGCGCCGTTGTCGCTCGTGGTCGGTCCCCAAAAGCTGCAGCAGCCAAACAAATTTACAATTTATCTCTGACTGCTTCCTTTGCCTCCCTACCCACCTGCCTGCCTCTCTCTCTCTCTCATTAGGAAATTAATTCAGTTGCAATAGAAACTGTATTGAGAGAGAGAGATATTTTGTTATGTACCCACCGAATGAGCGGTCAATTAAAGTTCTGGCTATTGTCCTTTGAAAGAGGAAGAACACTATGTGCACGACTTTAGACTTTCAAATTAAATAGACTTAAAAAATAGATTTAAAATTCTCCCAAAACATACTGAAAAAACAAGGAAGAAGCGAAATGCACAAAGCATTTGGTTTTCGGTTTGGTTCCTCCTTTTTATACTTTTGTAATTATTTTGCTTCTGCTCCTAATTAATACAAATGGTTTGATACACAATAAAGATTTTCCAACTTGCCTCGTTACTGGGCGCTGCCCTCGCTGTTGCCTCTTGGCTGTTGGCTGTTGCCTCTTGGCTCTTGTTGTGGTTGTTGTTGTTGTTATTGTTAGTGTCCTTGTTGTCCTCGCAGAGTAAAAAAGTTTTCCCATTTTGAAAACTTTGTGTTTGTGGCGTTTCTACTGCAGTTGCACTCATACACTTGTGCTAATACACACACGCACATACAATCTCTCATACACGCATACGCACACACACACACACATATACATATAGAAAACGCTCTAATATCTACGCCCGTTATCTCCTTTGTTTTTCGCATTGCCTTTGCCTTTACCATATACTTTTCGACGTAGAAGTCGACGCCTGCGTCGACGTCATCAACATTGCCGTCTTCATCAACGTGCATTGTTTTTGTGTAATTTTGCAATAAACAGCAAAACAATTTAAAAAACGAGCCAACAACGTCGACAAAGCAAAGGATGTAACGTTTTGCCAAGTGGACCGACAGCGACTACCCTTGCCCCCTGGCGTCCTTGCTTCCCTGCCTCCATCTCCGCTTGCCCCCTTGCCGCGTTCTCTCTCGCCCTTCTTTTCCCACTTCCTCACTAAGCAACCAGCCGCGCACAAAAGTAGGCAACGAAAAAATGAAGCTCAAACAGAGCAACTGAAGCGCCAAATTTGGGGGAAAGCAGCTCTGTGCTGATACCCTGCATGGACTTCCAGCGTCCATGATTTGTTGCCAATCAAACAAATCATAGATAAAGTCTATCTGAGATAAGTTCTAACTGTATATCCGGTATACCATGCTTTGAGTCCGGTATACCATGCTTTGAGTAGCGCAATATGTGATGGCATCGATAGGCAGGATGCAATTGTTTTTGTGCCGGTTTGACAATTGAAGTCGAGCATAGCCAGTTAATGTGCGCTCGTGCAGGGTATATAGTGTGTACAAGGCAGTAGCGCAGTGTTTCGGGCCTGGTCCTGGTCCTTTAAAGTTTTAAGTGCGAGCGACCCACTGTCCATTTACCAATTTATATAGGAAACTTTTTTGCAGCACAAATACTTTTGGTTAAGTTTGTTTACTGTAAAAGAAAATGTTATGCCTCCATTTAATATGTGGCCTCTCCGACCATGATAGAGAGAGGGATAGCGAGAGGGGCAGAGAGATGGTGCATCTGGCGTAGTTAATTTGTTATTGTTAGTGGCTGCTGCTGCTGCCAACTTTGGCTTGCCTCGTATTGGTCTGGTTGTTCAGTCTGCCTTTGGTTAATTGAAATATATTTATTAACTTTGCCTTCAATTTGCATACTCTTTCAAATTTAAATATGCTTGCATTCATGAACATTAATTATTATCTCTATCTGGATCTGAATGTATTGTGTCTATGTGTGTGCGTGGACAGTCGTTTTGGAAGTTCTGGGCTGAGAGGGAGAGAAGGAGAGAGGGGCAAAGTGAGTTATGTAATTACCGCCGCGATGCTGCTCAAGTCGAAGGAGCAAGGAGGGGTAGCTAAGCTGGTAAGCTGGCTTAATGACTTCTCATTACCGTTAATTGATTTCAATTAAATCACGCCCGAAAAACAGCAGCTTAGACGCTACATAAAGGCAAATGCGACTGATGTAACCACAACAACTTAAACAACAATTACAAAAATAATCAGGAAACAACACAGCAGCAGTAACAACAACAACAACAGCAACAACAACGACAGCAGCTACAAGAGAGTTTGGCCGAAGCCTTCCGACGATAACGACCACAGTCCTAGAACAAGAACAAGAACAAGAATAAGAACAAGGCATCGAGCACAACAGAAAAGGAAATGTCTGAAAGTAAAACAGGGAAAGCTAAGTGGGCAGTAGATGGGCGGGAGATGGTATAAAGATAATAGGGAGATGTGTCTTAAGTGTTTGCTTTGCCACGTCCAGTTCCCTGACACGCACCAACTGACCACGCTTACGCCCTTGCCCTCGCCCACGCTCGCGCCCACGTCACGCCCACGCCCACGCCCACGCTTACGTGCCCGTCCACGCCCACCCACAATAAATTAAAGCATCTTTACACAATTTCAGCTGCTTAACTTAATAAAAACTCCAGCATGCAAAGTCCAAATCCAAGTCCAGCTTCAGCTGTACGTCTGCAGTCAGTGCTGTCAGTTTAGCCTTTTTCCAGACATACTTTACTGTCAAGCAATCACACAGATTGCAAATTTGGCTCATATATATTTAGATGTTTATATTTTATTAGATATTTAGCTTTATAGAATATAATTTTCTGCCTTCATTAATATTCCTTTGTGCCTTTCTGTAGCTTTTTCTTGAGGTTCCAGTGGAAGCTTTTGTTTCAGTTTCATCTTCAGCTCTCAAACAGTCATGCATCGACCATTCGCTGGCACTCGACTGCTGTGGCGGCAAAGATTTTCGGATAAAGTTAATTACGGCTCATTGGGTATTCGAGGGGGCCAAGCGAAGGAGGAAGGCGAAGAGAGGAAGGCAAAGTTGCGCTGTTGGCAACAATCTAGATTTGGTTGTCGTCGCGTCGGCTGAGTTTGCATTTGCATCTCCATCTCCATTTCCATCTCCATCTCCATCTCCATCTCCAACTCCATCTCCAAGCACTATCCGCCGAGGCAATTAACAATAAAACAACACTTTTCTAATTGGATGAAACGCTTTGCAAGTTTTGCATCCGATATGCTTGGCTTGAATTAAAACCCGTGGTTAATGGTCTGTTGGTGGAACAGGCTCTACGATGGGCAAGCTGTCCATCATTTAGCGACTATTTGGCTGAGAAAGTGCGAGGATTAGCCAAGCTCCCTAGGCTGGGGCTCTAAGTGAAAAACATATTCTCTGCTCTGCGGTTCTCCTTATCTTTTCTCTTCGCGAGAGTCGAGGATTAGAGAAGAGGAAATTGTGCGCTTCACTCTCCATTTTAAGATTCGGTTCGTTCTCTTTTCGACTATAGTCAGTGATTGTGTTTGTGACATTTATCTTCTCGTACGCGCAGACATTTTAATAGCTCCGCTTTGCCCCCGACTCTGTCGTTGCTCTGGCCTTTCATCAATATGGCTGGCTGTGGATGTGTGTGGGCAAGGATCATTTTGCGAATAATGCAAAGACAAATTCCTTAGAGTTTTTAGCTGGGTGGCCACCGTACGTACAGTTTTCATATTCAATAGCTGCCTTTTGCGACAACAACAAAAGCAACAACAACAAATTAATACAAATAGTCTGTAGTGGTCTGGGCCATAGATTATACTTTTGTAGACAGTTTCGCACTTGCCGGCTACGCGGCTGCTGCTGCTGCTGCAGAAGGACATCCAGTGCTCTGCGCCCAGCATACCGTACGGGCAGAGCTTACGTCTTTATATTCGTCCAGAGAGTGAAATGGGCATATTGGTTTTCAGCCATGTCCTTTTTTCTTTGCGTTCTCTCTCCGCGTGAGCACGAAGCTAGACACCAGCTCACCTCTAATTGGTGTGCTGGTGTGCCCTTCGCAGACCTTTACCGATGAGCGAGTAGTATGCAGTCAGCTGCGCCCTACTGCAGCCTTCTTACTGTTTTTTTTTCGTTTTCAAGAAGCTCAATATCTTATCCAGAGCACTTTACTTTCGCCCTGCTATCTTACTATCATTGGAGTCCGGCTGCCACTTGGCCGGCTGGCCAGTTCATAGCTAATACGCTTTAAGGCTGCACTAGATATCGGCTCACACAGAGTCATATTTGTGTGTGTGCCCATCTATACACGTGTGTGTGTTGGTATATAAATTATTTATTGGTATTTTTGGTGCTTGAATCGAACCAACAAATGGCATAGAGCCGGCGACCCATTTGTGCTCGCATTGAAAGGCGAAAAGTGAAAAAGTTTTAATAGAATTTCTTTCTCGATACTTATTATTATTGTGTGCGTGTGCGTGTCCGTGTGAGTGTGAGTGTGAGCCAACTCAGGCGTTAGTTGCTCGATTTTACAAGACTTTCCTGGACTTACTCGAATGGCTTATTAAGTGAAAGCAAATGAGCTGAGAGAGATTTATATGTAAAGGTACGCGTAGATCAGCTAATACTTCCCACTGTGTGCCCACTGTGTGCCTACTGTGTGCCCACTGTGTGCTTCAATTACGCAATTAGCTAGAGTACTCATCAGACTTCCATTATGCACTCTGTCCAAATACAAATAAGGATCCCATTCAAATCAAGGCGATTTTTGTGCTGTTCCTCTCTAGCCCGAATTTATTTGTGTGCGTGTGCTAATTTGAATTATCGAACTGATGTGTCTGTGTGTTTGTCTGTGTGTGTGTGTGCGTATGATTTTGTGTGTACCATTCAAGTGGTAAGCCAAAATATGGCGTTATAATAATTTTCATAGCAAAATTTACACATGCATAATTAATTAGTATCAAAAATTTAATACTCACACTTTGTATCTGCTTAAATATTTACACTTCGTGCCAAATTTGTATGCAAATCGCTTTGCTACAGACTGACAATAACATACACACACACACACTTGCATACATATACACGCACAATGTCTTGCAATTAAAAAATAATACAGACCGCTTCACTTGAATAGGGCTTTGCCATTCGAGCTGAATGTTTCATGAATGTAGCTAAATATCCAGTACAAATAGAGTCGATCGAGAAGAGAGATAGAAAAGGAAAAAGAAAGAGCATATATACTTAGATTCAGTTAACATATTTTGTGATTTACAGCAATCCAGATCGAGGAATTTGCAATCGTTCCTATAGAAATTGGCTGCACTGTGCGCTGCCAGTGCCGAATGAACAGAATCGAAAAAGGGTGGTTGCTGCCGCTGGCAGTGACCAACATTGGTGCCGCTGTGCCCCACCACCTCCCGCCCCGTTCCCGTGGCTATTTCGTTGGGTCGACTCGCCGTCTGCTTGCCAGCCCCTGGTGAGTTACGAGAGCAAGTGGACGTAGTAGTTGGCTGGATGGCCACTAGCTGCTGGCTTTCTGGATGGGTTGCTGTTGCTGTTGGCGTTGATTGTTGTTGTTGCTTTTTTTTGTTTTGAAAACCCTTTTTAGTGTTTGCATTTAACGAACAGCGCCGCAACGATGCATAGTGGAGCATTTGGCCGGAAAGCGTAGTCAAAACCAAAGTTTTCATAAACCGGTCCGACTGGGAGTTCATTAAAAACTAAGTAAATGAAAACTTATTCAATTTGTATGCGCATTGACCTTAAGAGTTGACAAGCCTATTAATTGGCGAAAAAGTGCCTTTCATGTGCCTTTTTGCTGCGTAAAATGCGCAAGGATCCCACTGTGCGAAGCAGTAGCAACAATAAGGGCAATAACAAGCGTGCTCGTCGAAATTCCGCGCCAAGGCCGATAATGGGGTGGGCTTGGGGTCAGGTTCTGGTGTTAGTGATGTGCCAGGAAGTCGGGCAAGAGAGGGAGAAAGAGGGAGGAGAAAGATGCTGGCTAATAAAAGGCTTGTTACAATGAAAACAAATCAAATCGGCGCTGAAGCCATCCATCAAGTCAAATCAAACTGGGGTTCAAATGAAACGCGGCTAACGAATACCAGCTACAAAGAGGAAGTAGTTTGAATTTCCGGTGTCACTCCGCTGCCCCGCCCTCTACCCCAAACCCTCCTCTCTCTGCCCGTTAAAACGCGATTGCTAAGCGGTAGGCAGTTCCATTCGCACATCGCACTAGCAACAGAGCAGCTACAACAACAATAAAACGGCAAAAACAACAACAACAAGAACAGCAACAGTAACCACGTTCAAATTTTCAAATTGATTACGGGACACGGTTGCGGAATGAGTGGACGATGAGAGGCGATAGAGCCGCGACCCGGAGTCAACCCAGTTTTACTTTGAAATGCCATTAAAATCTATTTACAAACGCAAATTGATAGCGATTTTGGTCTATCCTGACCCGCGATGTGTTGAAGTCGAAGCTTAGCTGGCGGTGTGGTCAGGATATCCGTGTATGTCGGTGTCTGACGTGGAGTGTGTGAGTGAGTGTGTGTGTGTGTGTGTGTGTGTGTGTGTGTGTGTGTGTGTGTGTGTGTGTGTGTGTGTGTGTGTGTGTGTGTGTGTGTGTGTGTGTGTGTGTGTGTGCGCGTGTTTTCTTTTTTCCACATATGACTGTATCTTTCAGCTCCTTTCCTATGGTTACAACGACTACATCATCAGCAAAGCCAATGGAATGCGCACCTACGGGTAGTTCCAGGCGCAGCAGCCCGTCCCACATTGCATTCCATAGGAGAGGCCCCAGTACTGATCATTGGGGGACTCCACCTGACGCTAGATAAGAATTCGGCCCCTCACTGTTGTATATCTGTGTTCTTCTCCTAATGTAGCTCTCTGCTATCTCTCTTAGATCTTTACGGATATTGCATTGACAGCGCGTCCAATACCATCGCTCAGCTAGCTGTGTAGCATCCCTGCTTCCTTCTGGTAGATTGAATAACGGAAGTTGCAATACCAACGCCATTGTTGACTTGGCCTTTCGGAAACCCAATTGGTTGGGGTCACCGGCCTTAGCGATTGCAGACTCCAGTCTGGAGCAGATCAATTTTACCAACATCTTTTCCATGGTGTCTCAATGAATAGTTTTGGAATTCCATATAATAAAGATCGACATGTTCACACTTGGGGACCGACAGATCAGGACAGGTCTAAGTCCTGATCAGGAATATATTCTTCTGCCTTTCGCATCCCTTTTAACAAAACCATTATATCCTGCTTTCCTGATTTACAATGGGATCTGGATATAAGAAGCGGATTCACAGATACAGATGCAGACTCAGACACTGTTCTATTTTCACTATAGGTCGCTGGCAGCAGTGATGTACATACATACATATGTACATGTTAGATGTATGTGCGAGCATATGGGAAACATGCGTCCTTCGTCGCTGTACGTGGATTGTAATGAAAGTCCTTAACACGCTTTTTAGTTAGTGATTAGTGGCAGCCAGGGACACCGTTGATTCGCGATTGAGAGCGGTTAGTGGTCTGGGTGAGCAG